GTGCCATCATGCCCAGCTAATTTTTGTATTTTTTAGTAGAAACGGGGTTTCACTATGTTGACCAGGCTGGTCTCAAATTCCTGGCCTCAAGAGATCCATCTACCTCAAGCCTCCCAAAGTGCTGGGCTTACAGGCATAAGCCACCACGCCTGGCCCAAAGTGTAATTTTCTTTATTGCCCACTTTCTAAAACAAAACAAACAAAACAAAAACCCTTTAGTAATATTGTATCATACAGGGAATGAAAGTCAAACTCCTAAACCCAGCATTGACCATTCATGACACGCTCCGTTTCACACATCCGCCCCTCTCTCTTACCTTATGGTAACGTGCCACGAGTTTTCCTTCTGGATTATACACCACATTGGTATTGTATTGAAAGTAGCCATTGGGAGGACATGCGGAGTGACGGGAATTACATGGCTTTTTGTCCCCCAAATTTGCCAAGACATAGATAGAGTTGTTCTTGGCCAAGCAGCTGAGTCTTGCTTGCACTGGTGTGTGACCAAATCTAAATCAAATTATAATTAAGACATTTCAATTTTTAAAAAATATTTTAGTCACTTCATACAGAGACAATAGCAACTGTAACCACTTAAGTGGAACTTAAGTCAATACAAAAACTACGCATAAAAATATCCTACTTTAAAAGCCACAGATCATGACTTACACTTGATGAATACTTCCCACACCATATCTGTCGCTCCAGAAATTCATTACTCAGTCTCCTGCCTCATCAAGGGTCTCCTCGCTACTGAAACATCCCATCAGCATGAAATATCCTCTAGTACCTCCCATCTTTAAAAAATAAAATTAAAACCTCTTTTGACCATTCCAAACATGCCCTTCCAAATATTGCTTTAATCCTCAGCTCTCCCTTAAAGCAAAACTCCTCAAAAGATCAGTCCCTCTTGCCGTTGCCAGTTCCTCCTCTCCCATTCTCTTTTAGAGCACTCCAACTTTTATCTCTATCACCCAAACTGTTACTAATGCCAGCAGTGACCCCCACATTTTACCTGATCTCATCTTGACTTTTCAACAGCAGTTGGCACAGTTAATTACACCTCCTCGCGGAAACACTTCACTTTATTGGACCCACCTTCTCATTTTCCTATTTATTGGTTGCCGTTCTTCGACTCTTCTGCTGGTTCCTCCTTTTCTCCTGAATCTAAACACTGGAATTTCATAAGGCTCAAGCCTCATACCTATACTCTTCGCTAACTCACTTCCACAGGGGAACTCATCACGGTGTTTGAAACCATCTATATGCTGACGTCTGATCTTCTATCTCCAGATATAATTTTGTCTTTTCATGCTAGACTTGTCTGTGCAACTGCCAGGTTGACATCTCCAGGATGACAGTAGGACTTAGATTTTTAATATATATTAGAAGGTTTCTAGATAACCGTTTCCCAGGAAAATTAGCTTTGTGAGCCTAGGAAAACACAGTTTCAAAGCATAAGATCTTATGATTCACTTGAAAATACATGGTGAAATCTTTCTGCCTAGGAAGCAACTCTGGGATGGAGAGACTCTATGACACTGAAAGGGTGTCCCCTCAGCAGAGGCCTTGGAATGTATTCCTAACACAATCCACTGTCTACTTCAGAAATTAAGTTGCTACTTGTATCTATGAGATCCTCTTCCCTTAGTTTTTCTTGCAGTAATACCCTATTTACATATTTTCTCAAAATTTAATAAAGATTTTTAATCACAAACGATTGTTAAATAGTATCTAAGTATAAGTTTTTAAAATCTGACAAATACTGAGATAAATATAACCATAACATATACCACATATAGGATAATTCAAGAGCAATCATTTTGCTTTGTGAACATGCACGTTTTAGAGAGTTACTTTTGCACAAAAGACTAAGATAGTTAAAATACCTGTGGGAGTCTTGACAAGGAATCCAGTTCACCTGAGGGTCTGGGATATCCTCCAGATAAGGGAAAACAGTTTCCCTGGTAAATTCCCATCCATAAAGTGCATCTTCTGGAGTCACAATGATTCGAGCACCCTGTTCACAACAAGTGAAATAAAAACGATTTTTCCATGTACAACACAGACAATTCAACCCTCTCATCTTCCACCAGTTCCCGTGCCCCTCGCATACATTATGATTAGCAGAAATAAGAGAATACCTGCTCGGCTGCCTGCTTGATCGCTCTCTCAAGAATGTCTATATTCTTGTTCATGAGATTCAAGGCATCCTCCTGAGAAACAGGTGTTTTTGTTCTATTTGGCAAAATGACAGCATGTTCATACACTGCAGCCATAAAACTGTCCTGAGTACCAACCTGCAGGGTTATTAGGGCAAAAACTGCCACAAAGGTTAGAAAAGAGGAAGTGACCATGGCCAAGGTTTAGTGATTTCTGAAAGTAAAATAACATTCACATAGTATTTATAGAGGGAAGAATGTTTGCATAACATGTGGCTGCCAGTTACTGGTCTTTTACTCTATCATCCTTTTTTTTTTTTTTTTTTTTTTTTTTTTTTTTTGAGGCAGAGTTTGCTCTATCGCCTAGGCTGGAGTGTAGTGGAGCAATCTCAGCTCACTGTAACCTCCGCCTCCCAGGTTCAAGTGATTGTCCTTCCTCAGTCTCCCGAGCAGCTAGGACTGTAGGCGCACACCACCACACTCAGCTAATTTTTGTATTTTTAGTAGAGACGGGGCTTCACCATTTTGGCCAGGTTGGTCTCGAACTCCTGACCTCGTGGTCCATCCATCTCGGCCTCCCAAAGTGCTGGGATTATAGGCGTGAGCCACCGCACCTGGCCTAATTTATAATCTTAAAGAACACAATATGTCTGACCACTTTTAAAGAAAGAAAAATTGCAGTTCATTTAAGACAATCAGAAAGTATTACAGGGATTGAACAGCATGTACTATTAAGATTTAATATTGAATTTCCAAAAGACACCCGAATTCAAATACAGAACAATTCCAACTTTTATTAGTAGAAACTCATAACTAAATTACCTCTCATGTAAAAAAATCACATCACAACAAATATCTCAATTATTAAATTTAAAAATTGACAACAATTTTTTTGGTTCTGTTGAGTCACTAACATCATGTTTATTTTTAGATGAGGGGGAAAAAATTAAATACTTACTACTAAGAAAATGTATCACAGAACAATATTGAGAACAAAATTTACCCAAATCTATACTCTGACTTACTTATTGCTGTTAAGGACTGAAAACATGTGCTCCAGAAAAGCAGGATTTTGTGTCTGGTTTGTTCATTGCTGTATAGTTAGTGCCTATAGCACCAATACCCCCAGGCACCTAGGCCAGAGGAGGAATCTCTGCTCAGAGGCCCCAGACCTCAGGAGACTCTGCTTCTTTCCTTCTTTCTCTCTTTCACCCTTCCCTCCCCCTCCTCCCCCTACTCCTCCTCCTCCTCTTCCTCCTTCTTCTTCCTCCCTCCCCACCCACTGCTTTGAAGGAAGATACCACGGAAGGGGAAGTGTCCAGGACTGATGATAAAGATCATCTGAGTTGTAACAAAGAGAAGATGTAACTTTCATTTTTGTTAGCAGCAAATAATAACAATGAGTTTAAAAACAATGCTAACAGGTCAGATGCGGTGGCTCACGCCTGTAATCCCAGCACTTTGGGAGGCCGAGGCAGGCAGATTACCTGAAGTCAGGAGTTCAAGACCAGCCTGGCCAACATAGTGAAACCCCGTCTCTACTAAAAACACAGAAAGTAACCGGACGTGGTGGTGGGCTACTTGGGAGGCTGAGGCAGGAGAATTGCTGGAACCCGGGAGGCAGAGGTTGTAGTGAGCTGAGATCACACCATTGCGCTCCAGAAAAAAAACCTTAACAACAAATACAGGATATGATCTTGGATGCCTTCTTAGGACATCAGTATTCTCCCTTCCCCAGGCCCAATCCTACCAGATAAAGGGTTTGTTTTGTGTTTATCCAGTCCTTTGGTAAAAGTCACAGAAATGCTTTTAGACAGCATAGAAGAGTCGGTACAAATAAACAAAGTTTATTCTGTGCTTTACTTCATACTGAGGTAAATTCTTTGTTAAGAATGGGGCCTAGGGGCTATAAATAAGATCTGCTCATATTTTCTGCTTTGAATAGAAGTTTCTATTAAAGGAATAACTTTTCTTTATAGAGCAGAAAACTAAAAATAATTTCAGGAAAAATGGTCAAGCCCTTTTGTGGAAAATGCAAAGGGATAGATATTTTTATGAATTTTTAGCAGATTGTATAACAGACTTAGTATACAACCATACTACATAGTGTATATATAATTAGCAAATTAGCATAGGTGATTGGTATGTAATAGATTATGAGTGCCATTAGAGTTTAGAAATCATGTAACCCAAATGCCCACTTATTACAGGATAGCAATCTGAGGCATAGAGAGCTAGAGTGACAGAGCAGGATGTGCCGCTTCTCATTCCTGATTCCAGAGTCTTTCCTTTATACCCAAAACAGCGCACGTGTCTATGCTCTGTTTTAATGTCTGCAACTGAGTGTCTGAACACTCGTGTCTTTGGGGTTATTTTTCGGTGTTTTTTTGTTTGTTTGTTTTGAGACAGAGTCTTGCTCTGTTGCTCAGGCTGGAGTGCAGTGGTATGATCATGATTCACTTCAGCCTCCACCTCCTGGACTCAAGTGAGTCCACCTCAGCCTTCTTAGCAGCTGGAACGCCAGGCATGCACCGACATGTCAGGCTAATTTTTGTTATTTTTTGTAGAGAGGGAGTTTTACCGTGTTGCCCAGGCTTGTTTCAAACTCCTGGGCTCAAGCAATCCACCCACTTTGGCTGCCGAAAGTGGTGAGATTATAGGTGTGAGCCACTGCAGCCAGCCACTCATGTCTTTTAAAGAACCCAATTCAAAATGATCACCTTAGGAAGATGATAGGCAAATGTGCTAAGTGCTAAAGAAATTTCTGATGCAGTTGATGCCTAACAAAAACAACAAAGCTCTTCCATCTCCGTAAGTACAATTTTGGCCATGACCTACCTTCATTGATCTAGTATCACCAATTAGTAATACTTCCTTATCTCTTTTGCTTGGAAGTAGTCAGGTAAGCTGATGGTAAGGAGTTAACAATTTTAAAATTTTGGCAGTAGAAGCGGGGACAATCATATCTGTTATTGTGTTCCCAAATCTGGATGTTTTTCTCTGTCTTTGGCTGTAAAAGATAGAAACGATGTTGATTAGAGTTTTGTTTTTTTGTTTATTTGTTTGTTTGGCTAACAGGGAAAAGGAAAATCACTTCTGATATAAAATCAAGATGACCAAATTCCCTCCTTTGTTTTTTCATTTGCAGCATCTAAAAATTGTCTCATAAAAACTGAGAATCTGAGTAACAAAGGTAATTGCAAAAAAGAATCAGAAGTTAGTAAATTAAGGAGCAATTTAAATATAGGAAAATCCCTGAGATGTAAAGAAAACATTTGCCATAGAGGTCATTGATGTTGTTTTAAATCTTCAGAAGTAAAAAACCAAATTCAGGACATACAATTTCAAGAGTTGACTTTTCATAAAGATGATTGATCAGATAAGGCTTAACATTTTTAGTTTAACTGAGTTATAAATTAAAGTAAGGTTATTTTTGCCACAGAGAACATTGATTAATTGTAATTTACTGCTAAAAGAGCCTGCTTCATAATTTGTCATTTTGTGATTAACGAACTTAGCTAAAAGGGTAAAAAGTTAAAAGCAATTAAAAATTATTTGGTCGGCCGGGCGCGGTGGCTCAAGCCTGTAATCCCAGCACTTTGGGAGGCCGAGGTGGGCGGATCACAAGGTCAGGAGATCAAGACCATCCTGGCTAACACGGTGAAACCCCGTCTCTACTAAAAAATCCAAAAAAAAAAAAACTAGGTGGCGGGCGCCTGTAGTCCCAGCTACTCGGGAGGCTGAGGCCGGAGAAGCGTGAACCCGGGAGGCGGAGCTTGCAGTGAGCTGAGATCCGGCCACTGCACTCCAGCCTGGGTGACAGAGCGAGACTCCGTCTCCAAAAAAAAAAAAAAAAATTATTTGGTCAAAGAGTCACTATAAAAAACAGTAACTGGGTGGGCGCAGTGGCTCATGGCTGTAATCCCAGCACTTTGGGAGGCCGAGGCGGGCGAATCATTTGAGGTCAGGAGTTTCGAGTCCAGCCTGTCTGACATGGTGAAACCCAGTCTCTACTAAAAATATAAAAACTAGCTGGGCATGGTGGCAGATACCTGTGATCCCAGCTACTCGGGAGGCTGAGGCGGGAGAATTGCTTGAACCCAGGAGGCAGAGGTTGCAGTGAGCCGAGATCGCGCCATCGCACTCCAGCCTGGGTGACAGAGTGAACTCTGTCTCAAAAATAAAGAACAAACAAACAAATGAAAAACAGTAATAGCTCAAATATTTGTTTCTAATTGTGAATCTGATCATCTGTTAGAATAATATTCAATTGGGCTAGGTTTTAAGTCTGTAATTTTAAAAACCTCATTTTTTTCCCACTTTCTCAAGAGTAAGTATAGAGGTGTAGTTTCCGCTTTGCACCACTTCTTTGGACCTCTATTTCTCATCTAAACATTTAGGTAATCATACCTGCTCTATCTCCTAAAGATGCATGACAGTCCTCTGTAAGACTATGATGCAGATGACAATAATTAACAAAAGTGAGTGACTGTTTAGTAATATAATATCCTGACTACTTAATATTATTTCATTGTTAGACCCACAGAACTACTGTTGTTCAATTAAAATTCTAGTCTATTTGGATGACCCTGCTGAAGAACTGCTGGAATGAAATGGGGTTGACAGGGTACCTGCATCAACTCCTGATTCATGCTAAACCCAGTGTGATAGAAGAACCGCAGTGGGGTAGCACAGGTGAAACAAGAAAACCAAGGAACTCAACCCCAGGAAGGAGAGGAGCTGCTCCAGGCTCTGACACTGGCTGCTGGACTTCCTGTTATATCCCTTCTCCTGGATGCAAAATGACGAGTGAACTGAGAAACAAAGAGTGGGAAATAGCATGTATCATTATCAATGACATTCTCATAGGCAGCAAGGGTGACGTGTCAAAATAAGAATAAGAAGCAACAAGAGACAGAAAAGCCAGGCTCCAATGTTAAAACTGTTTCTCTTAATATTGTATACCAAAAAAGTACAATACTGTATCCAAAAAAAGTACTTAATGGCAAAGAAAAAAGTTTCTGTCCCTACACCATTAGAGTATTGCATATGGCTTTAGCGAGACTGAGTCAGCCCCTGTAAAAGGAAAGGTTGGCTTGAAGAGAACTAGCTTGCATTTTAGCCATCTTTGGGGGCCAGGTCTCATTCAGATGAGGTAATCCTCCAGCTTTAGAGTTGGGTGGGTGTTCAGTGCTTCAGATAGCTAACAAACACTGCTGAAATCAAGAGAAAATCTGAGAGGGTAATGATATATCACAGCCTTGGATTCTCTGAAAGCACTACTAGATGGAAATGCTTGTGCCACATGAAATTGCCAATCATCACTGCTTTCGACCTAGCAAAAGTAATTGCACATGGTTCAACCAGCATGTCTGTTTTCCTCTCTCAGAAACTTAGGGCTGAAGTTGCAGAAGTCCCTTTGAGTTAGTAACATCCTCCCCTACCTTCCGACAGCTCCTACTTCCTTAAAATAAAATATTAACAATATTAATATCATAATTCTACCCACTATGCCGGTCTATTAACTCTGCCAAAAGTTTCTTGCATTCACCAGCAGGTCCTTTTAAAAAATCAAAAATTCTCTTGATTGAATTAAAAGCTTTTAGTAAAGTCGGGATGACTGTCACCACGGAAATACATCCACAGGAACTGGATCCAAGTCACTTGTTGCTTTATGTAGGCAGTTGGAGAGACATGCGTTTGAAAGGGTATGGTACGAAAATAATATGGAAATCTCAGACAAGAAAAAAATAAAAAGATAGATTAAAAATAGAAAAGTTTATGCTTTATTGAGCAATATGAGAATGTCACAGCAATTCACCAATAATGCCCCTTGTTTATTTTCAAGTGAACAAGGAAGCAAAGAAAAATAAAGTTTGCAACCCAAGATAACTACTTACAGCTTTAGTCAAGGGAGAGCCTTCCACTCCTGTGGACCTCGGCTGCTTTCCTTTCCAAGGCCCCTGCTCCTCCAGTCACCCCTGGTGACTTCCTGTTTTGGTTTCACTTTCTGGGTGGGCTGTACCCTCTGAGATGACAGAGAGGAGTCCCAGCAGTCGCTGGTTCAAGGATGCTGCATCTTCAGTCAGACGCCAGGAGAAGGAGTGTCTATTTTATTCTAGCCTGGCAATTCTGATTCCTGAGCTTTTCTTTCAAGGAGCTGTATGGGCCAGATGACACAGGCCAAGAGCATTGACACAATTTCTACTGAACGAAGCTCAGCAGAAGAACCACAGCTATAGAATCAGGAGATTCTCTAGCCTATAAAGCCTAAGTTGACTCTTATATTCATGGTGTAGTCTTTCTCTTTAGCACATTATTCTTGTACTGTAACGCAGATCCCACTCTAGACTGTCCTTCAAATTAGAGAGAACTAAATTGTGTATTATCCTGCATCTAGTTATGGTGAGTTTTTTTCTCACTGTAAGTTATAAGGGTCATGGTGGCATCTGATAATAATTAACATGGACATGGACTCTGGGGCCAGAATGACTGGGATTGAGCCACTGCCTAGCTATGTGAGTATGAGCAAGTTTTGTTTCTGCTCTGTGCCTCAGTTTCCCCATCTGCAAAATGGTGATATGTGCTGAATAATTTTTGCTGTTATTACTATTGCTTCATTCCTAGAAGATGGAGGCCCAGTTACAAGGGCCATGCCCAAGGCAGCTTTGACCCAGATGTGGCTGACATACCCACCTGTCCTTGGTTACTGTCTTGTTAAAGGAATGTCAATGCATCTACTTCTTTATTTTTGCATTGTTCTGTCTGTCTCCACAAAGTCTTTCAAGTTTCCGCTCTTCCAGATCAACCTGATCTGAATGGTTTCTCCTAAAATTATGAACTTAAATTCTGTTTCTACTTGCTAATCTTGAAGGCATTCCCTCCAATCATACCATAGATTATCTTTCTGATCAAAAGCTTTCACTCCACCTATTTCATGCACCATTCTATCTTTTAAAAAACACACTAAACAACCTGCTGTGTAACTGGATTACTCACACGTTGCCATTGGGAATGTAGGATGGTACAGCCACTCTAGAAAACAGCTTAGCAGCTCCCTGAAAAGTGAATCATGGCTCCACTCCTTTCCCGCGCTGGGTGGCAGCCAGGCAGGGAGGCAGAGCAAGATCATAGCACCTCCTTTACCCTCCTTATCCTTCCTCTGGGGATGCCTGACTGAACAGTAGGGGAAGAAATTCTTTACGAGTTGTTTCTTCAGTTTCTTGTAAGCTAAACCATTAACCACAGTGACTATCTGCAAAACAGAATAATGGAAGTCTGGCATTTGTCTGCATTTTTTAAACACCCCAAAATGTGAGTCTTATGCCATAGTTCTACTGAATGGAGTTTGTTTATATGGAAAGATCAATTCATGAACAATATCAAATTGGAAATTCTCACTCTTCTGAATCATCTCACCAGTTTTCAGTGCTGTGTTATAAGAAATTCCTACAGCTATATGAATGAAGAAGCTGTGGGCAGATCTTAAGATAATTTAAGATATTAAAGATAAATTTAATAAATTTATTATTAAGATAAATTCTTAATTCTCACAGTTATATGAATGAAGAAGCTGTGGGCAGATCCTTCTTTCCCATGCAGTTCTTTACAATTAATAGTGTTGCTTTACTACAATAATACTGTTTTTTCAGAAGATGCAGTAGCAAGCATACAATTCAATGCCGTAGCTCTCTTACCGCATATGATTGCCTACTTCCTAATTCACATCCCTGTCTCCCTCACTAAACCGTGTTCCAGAACTACAGGCTGGACCTACCTCACTAACAACCAAGACACGAACAACCAAGCCATTCGCATTTTTATCAGATAAGTAAAACGAAAGAGATAAAAGCCAACCAATAAATATGATGATAAAACAGAAAACAATAGAAGAAATAAGCATAGCTAAAAGTTCTGAAAATATACGGAGAAGAAAAGGTATTAGTACTATTCTCAAACGAAAGATTTATCTACACTGGTTTTAATTCTCTTAAAAGAAAATAAAGAAACCTACCTGTATTTATGCAACAACTGATTTCATGGCTGTCATTTTTTAAATTTACAATAATGTTACTTGAGTGGTTTGGTATTCAATTTTTGTCTTGACTGATAAAAACTTACAAATGATATAATATACTGCTTTTTGTGTCTGGCATGCTATTGTTGACCTTTGTCAACATGAAATACACTCTGAATTGTTTTAGTACTGATGATAAAATTGCACTGAACTACAAGTCAAAATTTGTTATGACATCATATTTTCCTAGATGGTCCCTTGTAATACTCAACTATAAGTAAGCTGGGATTAGAAGTCCGGCTGTAGGTTTTCTGAAAGAAACTAGTGCAAATATTTAGGAGTTGCAAGCTGCTCTTAACGAAGACTGGCTGTACGGACTTTAGTTTCCTTTGTTAATACTTTAAATAACATTTTAGCTTCTCCATGTAAATATGTTGTGTCTGAGCCTCCCCCTCCTGTGGGTTTGTTTCATAAAACAGGGTCATGTGACAGTGATACCAAAGAAAAGGTGAGTATCATGGGACTACCCTGTGGATAATTTCCTTCTGATATGAATGTGTAGAGATATTTCTCAATTATTAATTGCGCTTAATGAAAATTAATTGGCTATGTAAGAATTTATCACCCACGTCTTTTCCAGCTAGGTTAGAGAGGGTATCTGTGACATATTTAAATCTTGATCATTAAAAAATAAGTAAATAGGTTTTTTTTTTTTTTGAGACAGAGTCTTGCTCTGTCGCCCAAGCTGGAGTGTAGTGGCATGATCTCCGGCTCACTGGAACCTCCTTCTCCCAGGTTCAAGTGATTCGCTAGCCTCAGCCTCCTGAGTAGCTGGGATTACAGGTGTACGCCACCATGCCAGGCTAATTTTTGTATTTTTTGTAGAGACGGAGTTTCACCATGTTTGCCAGGCTGTTCCTGAACTCCTGACCTCGGGTGATCCGCCCACCTCGGCCTCCCAAAGTGCTGGGATTACAGGCATGAGCCACCATGCCCAGTCAGATATTTAACTAATGTATGATATTTAATATTTATTGTCAAAATCAAGTTTCTTGTCTAAAATAAATTAGTTGAAAACAAACAAACTAATCATGCAGTTATCATGCAACCCAGTAGTTGTATTGCTGGGCATTTATTCCAGGGAAATGAAGTCTTTTTTTTTTTTTTTTTTTTTTTTGAGACAGAACCTCTCGCTATTGCCCAGGCTGGAGTGCAGTGGCGCGATCTCGCCTCACTGCAACCTCCGCCTCCCGGCTTCACGCCATGCTCCTGCCTCAGCCTCCCAAGTAGCTGGGACTACAGGTACCCTCTACCACGCCTGGCTAATGTTTGCATTTTTAGTAGAGACAGGGCTTCGTCGTGGTAGCCAGGATGGTCTCGATCTCCTGACCTCATGATCTGCCCACCTCAGCCTCCCAAAGTGCTGGGATTACAGGCGTGAGCCACCACGCCCGGTGAGAAATGAAGTCTTATGCTTGGTACCCCACCCTCTACCCTAGCCCCTGGCAAAAAAAACCAAAAAACCTGTTTCTAAATGTTCATAGCAGCTTTATTTGTAACAAATAAAGTAGTATTCCATTGTGTCATATAGCCACCCAATGGAATACCACTCAGCAATTTAAAGAACTGAACTATTGATACATGCAACAATGCCAATAGAATCAAGGGCATTATGCTGACTGAAAAAAGTCAATCCAAAAAGTTCCATACAATACGATTTAATTTATACGTTTCTTAAAATGACCAGATGATAGAAATAGAGAATCAATTAGTGGCTGCCAGAAGTGAAGATGGGAGGGAAGTGGATGTGGCTACAAAAAGGCAACACGAAGAATATGGCGATGGGAATGTTCTGTATCCTGGTTGTGCTATTGTACTATAGTTCTGCAAGATGTTACCATTGGGGAAACCGGGGAAAGAATACTCATGATATTTTTCTATTATTTCTTACAACTGCACGTGAATTAACAATTATCTCAAAATTGTTAAAGTTTAATTTTTAAAAACGATCTGTAATTTGTATTTATCCTTTATAGTTTTCCTTTGGATTGATTTACATATCATATTATAATGTATAGTTTGCAATATGATCTTAACATAAAAGATACCTTTTATTACTAACATATTCCACATTTGGTTATATAAAATGTTCTCATTATTAAAAAGGTTCTTTTAAGCTACTCAGTCTCATTACATTTAAAAGACTATAAATATATAAAAATATAAACACATACACAGAGATTTCCCTTGATAGTTTTGACCTACCTTTTGGTTTCCTTGTTCAAAGTGTTCTTTCCTCTGTCTTTTCTCATATTTTAAAACTTTTCTGTCACTTATCTTTTTTTTTTTTCTTTTTTTAAGACGGAGTCTTGCTCTGTCACCAGGCTGGAGTGCAGTGGCGTGATCTCGGTTCACTGCAACCTCTGCCTCCTGGGTTCAAGCAATTCTCCTGCCTCAGCCTCCCAAGTAGCTGGGACAACAGGCGTGCACCACCATGCCCAGCTAACTTTTGTATTTTTAGTAGAGATGGGGTTTCACCAGGATGGTCTCGATATCTTGACCTCGTGATCCATCCACCTTGCTCTCCCAAATTGCTGGGATTACAGGTGTGAGCCACTGCTCCCAGCCCACTTAATACTTGCAAAATTTCAAAATGAGAAAGGGGTAAATTTGGTTTTGTATATAGCATCTTTAAATACAATGCTATCCAAAGGAAGTATTGAGAGCAGTGTACTGGGAATGGGAATGAAGGAAGTTCTCTCCCCAGAGAGCCGGTGCAGGGGGCCAGGGTCACATTCTGTCCTGGCACTGCTCTGGGAAAGGAACTGCAGGCCATTTGTCCTCCTCACATTGGATCACACTCTGTAGGTTCAAGAGTGAAAGGCTTGAGGGGACAGGGAAATGAAGAGATCACAAGACAGATGTACATCCAGTCTTGACACTCAATGCCAGGCAGTCTTCCAAAGCCATCCTCTCCAACCCTTGGTATTGTCCTCCTTTTCCGTATTTTTGGTTTTGGTGGTGTGCAATGACAAACCATGGCGGCTTGAACTTTTGCCACTTCGGGATCCATTTTGCTCCTCTTCCCCAATTCACTAGCAGTCACCACCATCCACCCACACCCTCAAGCCAAAACCTAGGAGTCCTCCTAGATTCTTCTCTCCTCCCTCCACATCAGCACATTCTGTTGGTTCCACTCCCAGATAGAGCCTTTTCTCTCCATCACCAACTCCCTGGTCCAAACCATTATTGTCTCTCTCAAATTTTCCGAGGTTCCCCCTCCATTCCCATTTACCATCCCTATCCCCACCCACTCACTGTCCACATGCAGACAGAATCAGATTCTGGCATCACCTCCAGTTTACTAGACTCCAGCCAGCAGACCAAGCCTCATCTTTGACCATGTCAAGCCCTTGTGCACATACTACGGACTGTCCTCTGTCAGAATGAATGAATGGTGGCTACATTCTCCTCCTTCAGATCGCAATTCAAAGGTTGCACTTCCACGGACTTTTTCAAATTAGGCACCCACATCTAAACAACTCTAGCCAACTGCTCTATCACATCACCATGTTTTTTTTTTCCTTCTTAGCATTTCTGTAAGATAACTGGAGAGTCTGATATTTACTTGTTGTTTGTCTCTTCCACCAGTATAAGGTACATAAAAGCAGAAATTGTGTTTATCTTAATCACAGCCAAATCCCTAGCATCTGGCACAGTGTCAGCCCAGAGAAGACATTGAAAAGATATTTTTGAATGAATACATAAAACCATTTCTTCTTTTAAAACATTACTGTAAATGTGGCTACTACACCATGAAAATAGGTCAAGAAGCATGAGAGTTACACAATAGACATTTATTCACTTTAACAACATCATGGATTTCACACGAAGTTGGAGGAAGCCCTTCCCTAACAAAACAAGTATTTGCATTAGGGGAAGGAGGCTGACCTGCTCTAGGGATGAAATACATCTACCAAGAATATGGATAAAAACAAAAACAAAACAGATGGCAGAACCAAAAAACAGAGACATTAAAGGAAATGAACAACGTTATACCAAGTAATGTTTATAAATCCAGATCATAAGTGAACGTAAGTTACAAAAATGGAAGTTGTAAGTATTGTTATTCTTGTACTTTTCACACAAACAGACTTTTTAGAAACGTTTAAAGCCAGGGAGTGCTAGAGAGTTTCTGTATGGCAGGCAAGAATTCTTCCTTTTGAACAGGACCGAAAAACCTCAGGACAAAGAGAAAGTATATCTTTTAAAAACTGATTTCATAGTAATGTTTCTGTATATTTTGAAGCACCTTTATACATTTAGAGCATATCAAATTAGTTCATTTATTTCCCTGTTCATAAAAAAGTACATTCACAGAATTAGTGTACTCAGAATAAAAAAAAAACAGAGGAAATGAGAACTAACTCAAGTTAATAACAACATCTTCAAGGACAAGTTTGGTCACTTAAAAACTAAGTTTTGTTTTGTTTTGTTTTGTTTTGCTTGTTTTTAATTACCCCTTTCATACTTAATATTTCAAATATAGCTAGTTCAGCAGGACTGCTTTTCAGTATCACAGTAAGTACAACCCAATACAAGATCATCCAAAAACACGTTGACACTTCCAAGACACTGGCATGGGGTCCACGGAGTTTTGTGCGTAAAATTGTAGAAACCCTTCCTACAGTGATGTTTAAGGCCAGAAGCATTTATTTCTCAATTTTGTATCAATCCAGGATCCATCAGACTAGGTTTCATTAGGCAAGAGAGTAGTTCGTTCCTCCTCCGTGCTGAGGATGTTTTGAGATTTAGACCTACATTGAAGGAAAGAGATGAATATCAATATTTCTCATCTTAAAAACAAACAAACAAACAAACATAAAACCAGTACCTGTATCTCCATCCAACTATCTTTTTAAAAAAGTATCTACTGCCTGGGCGCAGTGGCTCATGCCTGTAATCCTAGCATTTTGGGAGGCCAAGGTGGGCAGATCACTTGAGGTCAGGAGTTTGAGACCAGCCTGGCCAACATGGTGAAATCCTGTCTCTACTAAAAATACAAAAATTAACAGGGCATAGTGGCCCACGCCTGTAATCTCAGCTACCTGGGAGGCTGAGGCAGGAGAATCGCTTGAACCCAGGAGGCAGAGGTTGCAGTGAGCTGAGATTGTGCCACTGCATACCAGTCTGGGGGACAGAGCAAGTCACCATCTCAAAAAATAAAAATTAAAAGAGTATCTACACAACTGATGAGCCTCAGAGTGCCTAGAAATCCACAGACTGAAAGAATAAATGTAAAATGTTATTTATTTTCCACTTGCACTGGCTAACTTTTAAAGAGAGAAAAAAGCCCCCAGATTGACCATACCTTCTTCTCCTTGAATACTCCAGTAGATAAAACAAGCCCATGGCTAATCCCTTAAACACAATTAAAAGTACTGATTAATGTGAATTTTCCAAGTCAAGTGTTTCCACAAATATAAGGAAAATGAAAATAAAAGACTGATTACTCACACTTATCAGAGCCCATAGACCTTGTATAGCTGCTGCCCATTCAAAACCAATTTTCTCATACAGAAATCCACCCAGCGTTGGTCCTAAAAAAGCACTAACAACAGAAAGAAGAAAAAGTATTCAATAGTGCAAAAAATAAATAATTACTTCATAAAAAGCTACATGATCCTTCAGTTGTAAGTATTCATAAAATTGGAAGATAAGTACCAAAGAAAAAACTAATTCCTGGACACAGCATTCAGTAAAAGAAAATAATTCTACCTGATAATGACATTCAAAATTTTTTTAACAGTTGTGAAATTATTACTGCTTCTGAAAAGTAGATGGCTTACATAAAAATAAAAAAGATGAAACAGGTTTAAAAAATTCTTTATATTATTCTATTCTCAGTATTTGCAACTAATATAACTCAATTCAAAACAATATATTACATTGGTTAGCATAGTTACCCTTCTGGTAGAAGGTAAAAATAAACAAATGAATGAATAAATGAATAAACTGTAAAAATCAGAGACATGTTTCTATTAAAGGAACTTATAAATATCACTTAAATAAGATAAAGTATATGAAACCATTTTGACTAAGTATTAAACTGTTGGTATAGGCATTGATTGTCGAGTGAAAGGGTATGGATTAGAACTCTGGCTTTCCCCTAGAGGATGTCTTTGAGAAACTCATCTGATCTCTCAGTGTTTCAATTTCTTCATCAACTAAAATAGGGATAGTATTAATATTTTCCATCTTGCAAGTATGAATGAAATTAAAGGATGCTGGGCACAGTGGCTCATGCCTATAATCCCAGCACTTTGGGAGGCCAAGGCAGGCAGATCACCTGAGGTCAGGAGTTCAAGACCAGCCTGGCCAACATGTTGAAACCCTGTCTCTACTAAAAATACAAAAATTAGCCAGATGTGGTGGCTGGCACCTGTAATCTGAGCTACTCAGGATGCTGAGTCAGAAGAATCTCTTGAACCCGGGAGGCGGAGGTTGCAGTGAGCCAAGATCGCACCATTGCACTCCAGCCTGGGTGACGAGAGTGAAACGCCATCTCAAAAAAAAAAAAGAAAGAAATTAAATGACTACTCACCCGATTGACCACATTGCACTGAAAAGACCTGATACAAGTCCCAATGTACTTAATCCCTCTTCAAACCCATTTTCACTGCAAAAAGAGACATGAGTGTATCCATTATTAAAAGGAAAACCTGTGTGATAGAAAAATTGTGTGATAGATCAATTAAGATAAACCAAGGATAATCTGGAAAAAACCAACAGCAAGAACACTCCACTTCTGAGATAAAAAGCAAATCTAATTTAAAAGAATTTTCATAGTTACATTTACTCCATGGTTTTCTAGAAATAATTTTTCTACATATATATGATATTAAGAAGCATGGCTTGTTTGCATTAAATACTTATAAAAATATACAATTAAGAAATTCTTAAAATGAGATGAAGATGGAAAGAGAACAAAGACAACTTTAAAAAAACAGAGATAGCTCCTTATTCCCATGAGAACCATTGAACTGACCCAGCACAGTCATAGTACTTAGTGTTCTTCATCATCACACCTATTAAACAAAAGAACGATGACCAAGTGACACATGCTGGTCACTCTAGGCTCTCTCATGGACCTCCTCCATGAAAGAGGAACAATGCTGAGACCTATCTATTTTGCTTTAGCTTTTCAAAATTACATACATACTGAGGCATACATCAAGCCAGATATCTGTCCACAACCCATTTTAGCTATTAATGTACTATTATCATTTCTATTAGTGTATTATTACTATTTATATCATGATATCATATGCTACAGAATCATGAAGATTTGACATTGGGGCAAAAATATCCAACATGCTGCAAAATTGAGAAATTCAAGAAAGCCTGTGATACTCACTACTTATTCACAATACAGCTCTTCAAGCAATGGAAGTAACTTACTGTGCACAACTGAGAATTTCCGGGAAAGTTGGAATTATACTCATTCCGGCAGAGATGCCATTTACAACTAGTATCAGCACCAGCAGCCAAAGCTGACTGCAAAAGGGTTTTGGAGAAAACAAATACAAAAAGAAAAACATTAGCATTTTAAGAAACACAAAGCTTAATGCTAAGGAAGTGAGGATCCCAGATACGTTATTTTCACTGATTATGTGCCTAGTCTCATTTCCATTCCCATCTAACCCATTTCATTCAGTTGGAGTGCCTTTTAGCTCCTTACAGTATTTGTTGGGGCTGGGGGAAATTCATCCTGATATCTCCATCTTTTTGGTCCTTTGGTTATATATATCACATGTCTGGAGCCAACCTGGCTTCTTCTCACCAGACAAAATCCCTTCAAAATTAGTGAAAATGTCAGTACTAATACTGTTCTTTCAATCACTTGGCTTTGAACTTCAATTAATTTAAAAATGGCATAGAAGGAAAGAGGTAAGAGAAGAGTCAGGAAACACATTTGTTCCATATGAGGAGACTATGCCAGTTACTTAATATATGTTACCAGATTTAATCCTTGTGATGTAAGTACTATTATCAGCTCCTTTTTGTAGATGAGAAAACTGAGGCTCTTGGAAGTTAAGTGGTTTGCTTACTAGTACATGGCAAAGCCAAAACCTAAACTCAAGTCTGAAGGACTCTGAAACCCCTTCCTTTCCATGTTACTATGTTTTATCCCAGAAGTACCTGAAAAGGTCTAAGAAGTTCAGTTTATTTTAGCAACTAAATTACATTAAGCAATTTAGTTGTAATTACATTAAGCAAGGTTTAATAGGCAGTTACTACATGCTAAGGATGATACAGAAACAAAAACAGATTTGGTCCCTGCCTCAAGGAAAAAGAATAGAAAAAAACAAAAATATATTCTAAGAACTATCAAGTAAAGGTAAGTAGCAACAAATTCTATTTTAAAAATAAAGTATAAACAAGTAGGTACAATTGAAATACAGGAGAATACGCATTTTTGTCATTTCAGACAGATTTTATGCATTTTTTTTCTCCTTCTCCCACTGCTAGCTTCTAGTAGGGTAAAATATTGTCAGCCTAACAATTCAATAGAGTACTACAGTTAATTATTTAAATATTAATGTTCCAAATACTAACCTATACCAGTGTTAAAACAAAATTTTTTGAAAAAATTCCTAATGTTATTTAGCCAAACATACAGAAGAAAAAAAACTACCTTTTAATATGCAAGACTGGGACAGGCCCTAAGAGTATGTAGCACCCAGCCGTGATTAAGTTGCCAAACACCAGAAGCCATTTCCTTAGAGGCTGGTAAGGAGAAAGAGAGTCAAAATGAGTCTTAGAGGCAAAGACCCTCCATAATCAAACAATATAAAACAATAGTAAAAAACACAAATCATGATATTCAAAAACCCAAATACAATGAAGAAAACAAAACTTTACATTTATTTATTATTTATTTTTTAATTTTTTAATTTTATTTTTTATGTTTTTGAGACGGAGTCTTGCCTTGTCGCCCAGGCTGGAGTGCAGTGGCAGCGCGATCTCGGCTCATTGCAAGCTCTGCCTCCCGGGTACACGACATTCTCAGCCTCCCAGGTAGCTGGGACTACAGGTACCCGCTACCACACCGGGCTAATTTCTATTGTATTTTTTTAGTAGAGACGGGGTTTTACCATGTTAGCCCGGATGGTCTCGATCTCCTGACCTTGTGATCTGCCTGCCTTGACCTCCCAAAGTGCTGGGATTACAGGAGTGAGAAAATAAAGAGATGAGAAACTCGCAAGCAAGGAAAATATATAACAAGACAGAAAGTGAACAAAGGACAAAGATCTCTTAGCAGGGGAGTGTATTGCAGATCAGATTTTGCACATGATGAACTATTACAAATATAACAACAAAAAAACTAACTATAAAATGCAATGACCAGCCAGGCGCGGTGGCTCACACCTATAATCCCAACAGTCTGGGAGGCCGATGTCGGAAGATTGCTTGAGCTCACAAGTTTGAGACCAGCCTAGCCAACATGGTAAAACCCAGTCTCTACTAAAAAAGCACAAAAATTAGCCAGGTGTGGTGGTAGACATCTGTAATCCCAGCTACTCAGGAGGCTGAGGCAGGAGAATTGCTTGAACCTGGGAGGCGGAGGTTGCAGTGAGCCAAGATCATACCACTGTACTCCATCCTGGGCAACAGAGCAAGATTCTGTCCAAAAAAAAAACAAAACAAAAAACAAAAAAACCCAGTGACTACAAAAAAACCCCTACCAGGTATTAATAGTTACAATACCTAGAAAAATCACATCATTAAAAAATTACCTGCTAGAGACTGAATGCTTATATCCCCCCAAAATTTATACATTAAATCTTAACACCCAATGTGCTGGTATCTGGAGGTGAGCCTTTGGGAGGTGATTAGGTAATGAAGGTGCAGCCTTCATGAAGAGGATTAGTATCCCTATACAAGAGGCCACAGAGAGCTCCCTTGCCTGTTCCATCGTGGTGAGGTTACAGTGAAAGAAGACAATCTGTGCGCCAGGCAACAGGCCCTCATCAGACATCAGATCTACCAGTGCCTTAACCTTGGACATTTTGGTCTCCACAATTGTGAGAAACAAATTTCTATTGTTTATAAATCCTCTCAGTTTATGGTATTTTGTTACAGTATCCTGAATGGACTAAGATCGTATCCACTAGAATTATCCCTTATAAACTACTTGAATCAGGACAAAAATTACAGGGGTGCCATATCCGCTCAGTTAAGTAAGATTATGTCTGAAAACCAAGCTCCAAACACTGTTTAAGATACTTGCTTTTGGACATCTGGGTTACTAAGTATTCCACAAGTAAATCAGTTCTTGATAAATAAATATGCAAATGAAATGAAGGGAGATGCAAAATATAAGCCCTAAAACCACAGAAGTTTAAGATTTGACTAGCAGTACTAATTCTGTGCTCTCATCATCTGTACCGAATGGTTTAAACCTGGTTGAAAGAGAACAGAAGGGTATTTTTTTTTTTTAACACAGCAGCGCCTATCAGCGAAAACCCAGTCCATCATTTATCCGCGTCAATTCTTTCCACTCACAAGAACTAAATCTAGCATCGTCTCCTCCGGCCGGCGACCCGGTGCTCAACCTGTACCAAGCACTTCTTGCGACGAGCGCGAGGCGGCGTGGATCCCGAGGTCCAGCAATCACGACATCCCCTGGCTAACTGGCGAAACCCCGTCTCTACTAAATACCAAAACACTAGCCGGGCGTGCGTCGGGCCGCCTGTAGCTCCCACCACTCGAGCCTCTGGGCAGGACAATCTGCGTGACCTGGAGGCCGGCAGCTGCAGTGAGCCGAGATGCCCACTGCCACTTCCAGCCTCGGTGACACGCGCGGACTACGCTCTCAAAAAAAAAAAAAAATTTCCCCTCCTAGAAGAACCGAATCTCTCCTAATTTGATCAAGTTCTGTAAGCTCTAGACTTTCCCTCATCTTATTCAATGCATAATCCTTGTCTCCTTCGTTTTACATTCAGAGCAGAGTTTTGTTCATTAGAGAGCTAATCAGAGACGAGTGTGGGCCAATGCATATACCATCCCAGCTACCTTAGGAGGCGCTGCGCATCCACGAGGTACTCTGATCACCAAGAGTTCAGGCTGCAGTAAGAGTAGATCCGACGCACTGCCCATCCAGTCGCTGCGGACTGACCATGTTGTAGGGAAGAATTAGCAAACAAGCAACTCTATCAATTTTTTTCTTTTTTTTAAAGCCTCAACGAGCTTCTTCCTCTTTCCAGGTGAAGCAATTTAAAGTGAATTGGTTTAGTGTGATAGCTGACCCTTAGGGTGATAGAAGATACTGCAACCTCTCCCTAGTCCAGTTGAATATATCAAGTCTAACCAGTGGACCCCTAGAGTTCCAAAGGAACAATTGGAAAACCACTGCTCTAAACATGCAAAAGTGACTCAAATATAAATTAAGTGTACGTACTGGCATTTTATCACTTAGGAGACCAAATAGTGGTGAAGAGATGGCATAGGACAGTGCCAGACCCAGGAATACTAGTCCCACATATCCAGCTGGTAAATTAAACTGTAAAAGAAATCCTATATTAAAGTCACATAATTAAGTCATTTTTAAGTAAACATCCCTCTTTTCCTTCTACCATTTCTTTAGCTCTTATTATTACCATGAGTCTATTAATAATATTCTGCACTGTCCTAATTTTCATCTTACCTTTGAAAATGCACTACTTTTTCTCTATGGGAGGACAACCTAACCAGAAGTCAGAAGAGAAGATTTTTTGCTTTGTAGCCTTTGGCATTAAACATACTTTGCTTCCATAACTCAGAGCACTTTTATATGTAAATTAATGTTTTGCAAACTTCAATGTGCATAAAAATTACCTGGAGAATTTGCTAAAAGAGATTCTTGGATTCCAACCATAGGGTTTCTGATTCAGAAAAAGAGGAAAATAAATTTCTAAAGATTTCTTAGGTTGGAGTTGGGTAATGGGATGGGCCGCAGCACGTCAACCTGAAAAGGGGGCAGCAGTGGTGAGGCACCACTAATAGCCCTGAGGGAGTCAATGTCTGATGTAAAACTGGGTGTGGTGGCGCATGCCTGTAATCCCAGCATTTAGGGAGATTGAGGCAGGTGGATCACTTCAGGTCAGGAGTTTGAGACAAGCCTGGCCAACATGATGAAACCCCATCTCTACTGAAAAATACAAAAATTAGCCTGCCGTGGTGGCGCATGCCTGTAATCCCAGCTACTCAGGAGGCTGAGGCAGGAGAATCACTTGAACTTGGGAGGCAGAGGCTACGGTGAGCCGAGATCATGCCACTATACTCCAGCTTGGGTGACACAGCGAGACTCTGCCTCAAAAGCAAAAAAAAGTTCTGATATAGTCCATCATCAGCCAGAAACAAGAAGGGCCTATACTACCTCCCATACCACAAATGGGTCGATTATAGTTATCTTCGAGGAAACCTCCTGTCTTCCTCATCTTTTTAAAATAAATTACATTTTCTTGAGAAACAATAACAAAAAAGATTTCTTATAAGATATACACAAACAACTTGGATTTCCCAGAGATTAGTTATAGATTTTTTTTCATTGTTTAGATACAACTTCTTAAAAGCACAGAAAAACAGCTGAAAAATACAGGTTGTTGACGATCTAAATGGACTGTGTCAGTATAATCACAAAACATTTTTCTTATGGGCGTCACACGTATCCGTGTGAAGAGACCACCAAACAGGCTTTGTGTCAGCAATAAAGCTTTTTAATCACCTGGGTGCAGACAGACGAGTCTGAAAAAGGAGTCAGCAAAGTGAGATGGGGTGGGGCGGTTTGATAGGATTTGGGTAGCTAGTAGAAAATTACAGTTAAAAGTGGTTATCTCTTACGGGCAGGGGCGGAGGTCACAAGGTGCAGGGTGGGGAGATCATAAAACTCATTGCCCAGGGGAGGAATGTCACAAGGTCTATTGACCAGTTGGGGAGGGGCAGGAACAAATCACAATGGTAAAATGTCATCTTTTGTGGTTCTTCAGTTGCTCCAGGTCATCTGGATGTATACGTGCAGGTCACAGGGGTTATGATGGCTTAGCTTGGGCTCAGAGGCCTGACATTGGGTAACTTACGGTACTCACTGGCTAAAGGCAATATTATATTACTGTCTAAATCTTGGACCAGGCACTAAAAACAGTCTCCAAGTTTACCTGTGAAGTTCCCCAAACTGTCTTCAGTGATTTCAAGGGGTAGTGTAAAATGATAAGAAAAATTAATTTTAATCTTTACATTCTATGATCAGTAAATGTTCAGAAAGCATTTGAAATGACCATATTAGCAACTTTATTGATATTAGAAAGTATATTGAAACTTAAGTTTCTGTGCTATGTTAAATCTAGTACCTCAAAGTCATTATGGGCCGAAGTTAGTCATTTTTGCCTTTTATCAACACATATTAATTGTTCAGTGTAATTAACTACCACACCTTGTAATGGACTTCACTGTGTCAGTAATAATATTTTTTCAACAATATCTAAGAACAAATTTCGATGACTTCAAACTTTTAGAATTCAACATTTTATTTTTTAGTTCTAGGGATACTTGGTTCCTTTCTCAAATCCCAGAATAATGCAGTCCATAGTCATCTGATTATATGAAGTAGCCTAAAAAGTCAGTAGACCCAGGGGGGATCTGTTACAGAAGAAGCACATCTTACATCAAATGAGCTACTGTGTACCCCTAATGTCTCACTGCAATTCAAACAGAGGAAAAGTATCCTTGTTAAGCAGCATGGATGATGCCCAAGCTAGACCTACAATGACATGAGCAAGGTCTTAGAAAGAAGGAAACTAATGTTTTGGCCACTTAGTGAAAGACTTCTTTCATTTTTACTGAATCAGATCCCTAGTTCACAGGCACAGCAGAGATGGACAGGCTACCTCGGTGTGTAGTGCCCATTCTGCCTCCTTCTCCCAGCCACGCAAGGGTCTTTCCACAGAGCAGGGCCCAAGAACAAGCAGTTACATCCACCTGCTACAACGCAGCACTCTTCAGCAATCAGGCAACTTACCTTCTCCAAAACAAAGAGAGACAGAGTAGGATCAAGGAAGCCAAAACATGAGCTGAGTGAGTTGATGACGAAGGCTATAAGGCCAACTTTGGGTAAAGCAATCAGTTTCCAGAATGAGTGTTCACCTGGATCAGACTCTTTGGGGAAAAAAGAAAAAAAAAAAAAAATCAAAGCAATTAAAATCTCTTTATTTTAACTTATTTGGAAAACTGGTAAGACCATCTTTATCTGGTAATCAACACAACTCAACCTCTGAGTTTGCCTAAAATTGTATACAATCTACACTTGCATATAAATTATTCAAACCTAGAGGCCACATTCAATTTATCAAAAACAATTTCCCAAATTAGAAAAAATCAACTGGAATCAGAGTGTGAGGGAAAGAAGGAGTCTTAGGTTACAGGTTGTAACTATTATACTCATCCTGGCCAGAGATAATATCAGGTTTAGACATTGTATTAATCTGTTCTCACACTGCTAATAAAGACATACCTGAGACTGGATAATTTATAAAGGAAAGAGGTTTAAGAAACTCAAAGTTCCACTGTTATGCCCAGACCGTTTGTTCCCCAAAGAAGACCACCAGAGTCCAGTGTCAAAGCCAAGCGGCAAGGATCTTTACTACAAGTTCGAACCTGGTCCCTCCATTCCACAGTATACAAGAGGGCCCCGAACAATGCGAGCATTTGCTTTTTATAGCCCGAGAGTTACAGGGGAACAAAGGAATTCTTTTGGTTCCCGCGCTTTCAGTAAAACCTTGAACGGCTGTCTCCTTATCGGAGACTTTCCAGGTGGTGTTTGTACTGGGCTCAGGGAGTTTGAGAGATATATGGCAATATGTGGTGGGATGGGAGGATGGGATGTGTTTGTACTGGGCTCAGGAAGTTTGAGAGATATATGGCAATATGTGGTGGGATGGGAGGATGGGATGTGTTTGTACTGGGCTCAGGGAGTTTTTAGCCCAGGGCTGAGGAATGTGCCCAGCTCCTTTCACCACATGGCTGAGGAAGCCTCACAATCATGGTGGAAGATGAAGGAAGAGTAAAGGGACACCTTACATGGCTGCAGGCAAGACAGCTTGTGCAGGGGAACTCCCATCTATAAAAATATCAGATCTTGTGAGACTTATTCACCACCATGAGAACAGTATGGGGGAAACCACCCCCATGATTTAATTACCTCCACCTGGCCCCACCTTTGACATGTGGGGATTATTACAATTCAAGGCGAGATTCGGGTGGGGATATAGCAAACTCGTATCAGACATGAAAGCTTTTTTTTTTAAGAGATGGCGTGTATTGCTCTGTCACCCAGGCTGGAGTGCAATGGTGTTATTATAGTTCACTGCAGCCTCCAACTCCTGCACTCAAGTGATCCTCCTGCCTCAGCTTCCCAAGTAGCTGGGACTACAGATGTGCACTACCTCACCCAGCTAATTTAAAAATTTTTTAGAGATGGGGTCTCCCTACGTTGCCCAGACTGGTCACACATTTTTGGCCTAAAGCGATCCTCCCACCTCAGCCTCCCACTTATGGATGTGGAAACCCTTTGATGGCCATGACAGCCTTCATTTATCCCCATTTCTCCCACAATATCCTGCACAGTTCATTAGTCTATAAATACTTGTTGAATCACGATCAAATATGGAGCAAAGTGCAAAAACATCATGAAGTGTGGTTCAACTATTTTAAGTGTTATCCTTAGATTTTTTCAGGATATAAGAGATAAAGTGAAACCTTGGTGTTAGTTTTTGTTTGTTTGTTTTTGTTTTTTGTTTTTTTGTTTATGTGTGTGTGTGTGTGTGTGTGTGTGTGTGTGTGTGTGTTTTTGAGACAGAGTCTCACTCTGTCACCCAGGCTGGAGCGCAGTGACGCGATCTCAGCTCACTGCAACCTCCGCCTCCTGAATTCAAGCAATTCTCCTGAGCCTCAGCCTCCTGAGTAGCTGGGATTACACGTGCACGCAACATGCCTGGCTAATTTTTGTATTTTTAATAGAGACGGGGTTTCACCATGTTGGTCAGGCTGGTCTCGAACTCCTGACCTCCGGACCCATCCACCTTGGCCTTCCAAAGTGCTGAGATTACAGGCATGAGCCACGGTGCCTGACTGGTGTTAGTTTCTTAATTATGAACCAAGTATTCAATGGTGAAATAAATCTGAGCACATCCTTGATGCTCAACTACAGAAACTACAGGATGTAGTTGGACTTAGAAAGAGGAGAAACACCACTGTGTGGCTCAGTGAGGTATTGCAGGCAGGGAGACAAGTTGGTGTGATTTTTGAATTGTATATACTAAGGATATTTAGTCACTTTTAAACTAAAAATGATAAAAGATTCCAATTTTAATTGGTTACATTTATTGTGAAAGTAAGAAGTATTATGTATTTATGGTAAAAAATAAATCATTATTGCATAATAGTCCCTGTTCCTAAAATCCAGGGTGAGAAAAGGAGTTGTCATAGTGAGAATATATTAAAACATCCATGAAAATGAAACATAATTAGTATAATTAAGCAGTTGAAGACCAAGTAATGAAAACTTGGGGTACTTGCTTGAAGGGACATGACTCCCTGGCTGACAAAACCTGCCACAGGAAGTTACTGTTAGAGATGGGGAATAGGGTTGTCCTCAAGTGTGAGGGGGCAGGAAAAATGCTGAGCACTATGGCACTACCTACACCAGATCTAGTCCAGTGATCAAGAAGGTTTAGAAAAACTCCCCAGAAAAGGGCTGGGCACAGTGGTTCACGCCTGTAATCCCAGCACTTCGGGGGGCCGAAGTGGGTATATCATGAGGTCAAGAGTTCGAGACCAGCCTGGCCAACACGGTGAAACCCTGTCTCTACTAAAAATATAAAAATTAGCCAGGTGTGGTGGCACAGGCCTGTAATCCCAGCTACTCTGGAAGCTGAGGCAGGAGAATTGCTTGAACCTGGGAAGCAAAGGTTGCAATGAGCCAAGATTGCGCCACTGTATTCCAGCCTGAGCAACAGAGCAAGACTGTCTCAAAAAAAAAGAAAGAAACCCCTCCGCCCCGCAAAAAGGTAATACAATCAATTTTTGCAGGATAAGTAAGAGTTAGGTAGAGTGGAAGAAAGATATTCCAGATCATATGACTCTTCTACTTAAATCTAACAATAGGCCAGGCACAGTGGCTCACACCTGTAATCCCAGCACTTTGAGAAACCAAGATGGGAGGATCACTTGAAGTCAGGAGATCGAGACTAGACTGGTCAACATGGTGAAACCCCGTCTCTACTAAAAATACAAAAATTACCCAGGTGTGGTGGCATGTACCTGTACTCCCAGCTACTTGAGAGGCTGAAGCATGAGATTTGCTTGATCACGGGAGGCAGAGCTTGAAGTGAGCCAAGATTACACCACTACACTCCAGCCGGGGTGACAGACTCCATTTCAAAAAAAAAAAAATCTAACAATAGCTCCCAATGGCTTTCAGGATAAAGTTCACATTTCATGGATTTAAGGATTTTTTTATTTTAAAAAATAAGTAAAAATTGTCTCTATTTACGGTATAAAACATTATATTTTGATATATATATACATTATGGAATAACTAAATGAAGTTAATTAACATGCTTTGCCTCACATACTTTTTTTTAATGGTAAGAACACTTAAAATCTACTATTGACAATTTTCAAGTGTACAATATGTTGTTATTAACTATAGTCACCATGATGTACAATAGATCTCTTAAACTTACTAGATTTAAAGATTTTAATAAGATAATTGACACGTCCATGACTCTATTTTAGAAGTATTTTTTTTTAGAGCAGTATAGGAGAGGGGACCTGGTGAGCAGATATAATGAATGATTCTTAGCCACCCAATGCTAAAGCCACATTGTCTATGGGTCTAAAAGGTGGTAAAGAAATGGGCAAAACTTACAAAATAAAAAATTCTGCCAATATCAGTAATTTTAAAAATTTATTTGATTTTTTAGCATCTATCTATAAACTCTTCTAAAACAATAACAATTTTTTTTTTTTTTTTTTGAGACAGAGTCTCACTCTCCTGCCCAGGCTGGAGTGCAGTGCCGTGATCTTGGCTCACTGCAACTTCCGCCTCCTGGGTTCAAGCAATTCTCCTGTCTCAGCCTCCTGAGTAGCTGGGATTACAGGCATGCACCACCATGCCTGGCTAATTTTTGTATTTTTAGTAGAGACGGGGTTTCACCAGGTTGGCCAGGCTGGTCTCGAACTCCTGACCTCAGGTGATCTACCCACCTCAGCCTCCCAAAGTGCTGGGATTACAGGCATGAGCCACTGTACCTGACCAAATAATAACAATCTTTAAAAGTAGTACTAATTGGGAATACTTAAATCTACATTTACAGCCTTAATATTATCAATCCTAGAGATTTTTTTTAAATACCAGTTTATAATTTTTTTGGGGGGGCGGACACAGTCTCGCTCTGTCACCCAGGCTAGAATGCAATGGCACAATCTTGGCTCACTGCAACCTCCACCTCCTGGGTTCAAGCGATTCTCATGCCTTAGCCTTCCGAGTAGCTTGGACTACAGGTGTGCACCACCACGCCCAGCTAATTTTTGTACTTGTAGTAGACACAGGGTTTCACCATGTTGGCCAGGCTGGTCTCGAACTCCTGGCCTCAAGTGATCTACCAGCCTTAGCATCCCAAAGCGCTGTGATTACAGGCACGAGCCACTGTGTCCGGCCCAGTTTATAATTTTTTAAAAACACTATTAAAAGAGAACACCTGAATCTACATCCTTGTATCTGAGCTACTCTGTGAAGACAGCTGCAAGGACCACTGGGAAAGAAGGATGGGCATTATTCTCTTAGCTTATAGCCTTCTAGGAACACTGGGCTATGTGTGGCCCACAGAAACTTCTGGCTTTGATATTTAGTTCAGTCCAAGAAAATCTCTCATAGACACAGCATATGGTAATGGTTTATGATCAGAAGTTAAATATTTGCTAGCTCTAAAGGTTGTAAAGAATTTTTAATTTATAGAAATTCATATAAACTAATTGCCTGCATTACTGAAAAAAAAATCAGTTATTTTTAAAAGCTACTTTTGATTATATAAAATAAAACAATATCTGGTAAACTGGTCCCTTACAAAGGTATAAACATATATTTAAGGTTCTTAAAATGAGTCATAAGTGTGGACTTACCATAATTGGGTAAAATATACATATTCAGTGGTACCATCAGCAAAACGATGCATCCCAGAACAATAAAGGGCACTTCATAGCCAAAGGACTGATATAAAAAGCCACCTACAGGAGGACCTAGTATTAGCCCCAGTCCAGAAAACGTCTCGAGACTTCCCTTAAAATTAGAAAAAGAAAAAATCAGTTTAAATATTTCATTTGAAGAATTAACAAGGTACTATCTAAAAAAACAAAATTCTGTCTTCTTCATAATTTACATACACACACTCCCAAGATGGACTCAAAATTTAAATGCACATATTGAAATCATAAAACTATTAGAAAAATAAAATATGGGAGTATTTAAAAAATTGTTATCATAGGGAAGGTATTGTAATTGTGACATAAAACACCAGAAGATAAAAAAGATTGACAAATCTGATTACATGAAAATATGAAAACTATGCATAAAAAAATATCAAAAGATAAATGAAGAACAGAGAAAAAAATGGCAAAGAACTAATTCCCCAAATACATCATGAGAGCTACAATGAGGAAAAGAAAAATGGGCAAATGCTATAAATAAACTGTTGACACATAGAGTGGAATACAAAGATATTTTGGAAGTTCACCCTCACTTTTTAAAAGAAATAAAATGAGCAAATTTAAACCACAAGATACCAATTTTCACCTATTTCTTATCGAATGCTCTGTGCTAGCAAGTGAACACCAGTAGGCAATTTGGCAATTTGGCAAATTAAGGCACATATCTCATGACGCAGAATTCCACTTGTAAGAAATTAACTTACAAGTATAGACATGCAGATGTGACATGGTATGTATATAAGCTTATGCACTACAGCAGAGTTTTGCAATAGCAAAAGATGAAAATAATCTAAATATTGATCAATGATGTAAGTAAACCAGGTTATATCCACACAGTGAAATACTATACAGCCAGTAAGAAAAGTAAAGAGTAAGAAAGTTCCTTAGATGTAGGTACAGGAAGATCTCCAAGATGATTTCATTGTTGGTGTAACCAGTGAGGTGCTGAATGGTACATATGGTATGCTACCATTTGCGTAAAGAAAAAAGAGGGATAATGCAATAGTCCTGTCCCAGTAAAAAAATAAAAAGAAAAAAGGGGGAGGGAAATCATGCTCTCTCGCTTGCGCACTCTCTCTCTCTCTCAGTGTGTGTGTGTGTGTGTCAGTGTGTACATACATATATGTGGAAATTCTCTGGAAGAAACCTACAATATCTGTTGCCTTCCCTAAGGGGATGGAGGGCTGGGCACCTGCACAACTGGTGTGTATACAAAGGCTGAGCAACAGTTATATGTAGAATATATTTACTATATTCTATGTTCCCTTCTGTAACTTTTGAATTTTGTACAATATAAAATTATTTTGTTTAAAGTTAAACAAAACAATGCTATGGAAAAAAAGGGTTTACCACTATAGATATTGTAACATTTTAAATCAATCTAGTTTTTAGGGACCTTAAACAGAGATCTGTGGCTTGCAACCTTATATCCTCAGACCTTACAGAGTACACAAAAGTATTCTATTAATAACTTTCAACACTTCAAAAAGAAACTGAAATTCTTTAATCACAATAAGACCATCCAGATCAATTACCATGTTAGTGTGTTAGCTGTTGGCTGCAATTTTATACAGAAACTTGGTATAGCAACACTGATGTCTCTTGCTGATCAGAAGATCCAGTGGACTATTATCATTATCATAGGAATTTATTAGGTAGCGCTTTCCAGAGTGTTCCACAGAATACCAGCTCTTTAAGAGATCAACAAGTCTTGTTTGTTTGAAAAAATAGTTCCAGCCAGGCGTGGTGGCTCACACTCGTAATCCCAGCCACCTTGGAAGGCCAAAGTGGTAGGATTGCTTGAGGCCAGGAATTGAAGACCAGCCTGGGCAACTCAGCAAGACCCTGTCTCAGAAAAAGAAAGAAAAAGAAAGAAAGAAAGAAAGAGAGAGAGAAAGAAAGAAAGAAAGAGAGAGAGAGAAAGAAGAAAGAAAGAAAGAGAGAGAGAGAAAGAAAGAAAGAAAGAAAGAAAGAAAGAAAGAAAGAAAGAAAGAAAGAAAGAAAGAGAGAGAGAGAAAGAAGAAAGAAAGAAAGAGAGAGAGAAAGAAAGAAAGAAAGAAAGAGGAAGGGAGGGAAGGAAGGAAGGAAGGAAGGAAGGAAAGAAAAGATAGAAAAAAGTGGTTCCATAGTTAAAGTGCGTTGTAGAACATCTAATAAAGTAATCCTACTCCAGGATTTTCAAGGTCTGAAGACATTAATGTGAACTAGGCATCTCTAAGTTAGAGGCAGCAGACAGCACTCTCCAAACAAACCTGCTTAGCCATAAACCCTTATCTTATAGGGCATATCAACAGACTCGTGTTCTTCTGAGCCCTTTCTCAGAAAAACATATTTTTTTTCCTCCCTTTCCAGAGAAATACATTTTCTGGAAATGTAAATTGTATACCTGCCAAATGGCAACAGAATCTAACATAAACCTATCCAGCTATATACATAAATGCTTAACAAAAAGTGGGAATAAGTATTTACACAGCAAAGCATTTACCTGATAGTAAAACTTTTCAAACTACAGTATTAAATGAGTAAATAAGTGAGTCCTTGTTACTAAGCTGATTAGATTCTGAAGTCTAAGAGAACAATTAAACGCTATAAGGGCGCCATACAGACTCTGATATGAGTCTTTCAGAAGCACATGGGCCCAGAGAGAGAGAGCTATAATAGAAAAGACTTCTTGGGGGTCAGAGAGGAGCTGCCTATGGATGGGATGGGAATCTGATATGTCACTAATACCAGTTCTATAAGCATCTAAGCAGTATACAAAAACACATGTCAATATGATGCCACCAGGATTTGGATTTTTACGTCAAAATGCAAAAGCATCCTCAGATAGACAGTGCAGAAGCACTTAAGGACTTTGAGATGATTTCTAAGATCCCGTGCATAAATCTGGGGAAAGCGGAGGAAGGACTTTAGTATGAATTGATTATTTTGCCACTAGGGATAACTCTTTTTCTAAGGCAGAGGAACGCTTCAGGCAGCTCAACCACAATCTAGGCTACAGGTAGACAGCAAAAAAAACTACCAAGGAAATTTTTTTTTTAAGTGGTAAAAAGAATGACTGATGTGGACCACATTTACCTGTCAAACTGCCCATTCAGGGAATTCTAAAACCAGGAAGAGCACCTAAGTAACACCAGTGTTACATTTATTGACAGGCTTGCTGCTAGTCGAACTCGGGGTGAAAGGCAACAATAATACAGAGAGTACAGAAATGCAAGTATAGAAGAATGGATCCCAGCTTTAACTTGGAAGGGCAAATATTTTGGCCGGCCAGGCGCGGTGGCTCAAGCCTGTAATCCCAGCACTTTGGGAGGCCGAGACGGGCGGATCACGAGGTCAGGAGATCGAGACCATCCTGGCTAACCCGGTGAAACCCCGTCTCTACTGAAAAATACAAAAAAACTAGCCGGGCGAGGTGGTGGGCGCCTGTAGTCCCAGCTACTCCGGAGGCTGAGGCAGGAGAATGGCGTGAACCCGGGAGGCGGAGCTTGCAGTGAGCCGAGATCTGGCCACTACACTCCAGCCTGGGCGACAGAGCAAGACTCCGTCTCAAAAAAAAAAAAAAAATATTTTGGCCTACGCTCAAAGGAAAGTGGGAAATACTTATAAAATACATACCAATACTGTAGCCACGTTATTTGGAAAAGCCTTTGCCAGGATAGAAGAAGATGCAGTCACTGCTGCAGCAAAGCTAACTGCATCCATTACTCTCACTAGAAAACACATAGCAATAAATACTGGTCCATCTGGAACTCGGTCCAATACACTAAAAAGGAATAAGACAATTCTCAAATGCCAAGCTAGTTTTCATTTCTTTCCTTTTTAACTGTACTCACTAAAAAGAGTAGTACCTCACCCATAGTTATTAGAATAAATCACTTTAGAATATAATTTTTTAAAAAAGAGTTGCTTTGCTGTCTTTTCAGTAGGAGAAAATTACCCTTTTTCTTTTTTTGGTAACAATTTGAGTCATAACAACAGCTTAGTTGCCCTGTTCTGCGATATAACTGGTCCCCCAGATGATAGTACCAAATAAACCTTTCTAGAATATGTACAATCGGTGTGGTGACTTATGCCTGTAATTCCAGCACTTTGGGTGGTCGAGGCAGGCATATGCCCCGAGGTCAGGAGCTGGAGACCAGCCTGGACAACATGGCGAAATCCCATCTCTACTAAAAAATATAAAAATTAACTGGGCATGGTGGCAAGCACCTGTAATCCCAGCTGCTTGGAGGGTTGAGGCAGGAGAGTCGTTTGAACCTGGGAGGCGGAGGTTGCAGTGAGCTGAGATCGCACTACTGCACTCCAGCTTGGGAAACAGGGCAAGACACCGTCTCAAAAAAAAAAAAAAAGAAAAAGAAGAAAAACATGTAGAATCACTCTGACAAGACCCATATAGAAGAAAGAACTCAGTTTCAGATCTCTCCCATGGTAGGACTCAAACCAAAAAAAAAAAAAAGGAATAAAGAAAGAAAAAAAAATATCCTTCCAAAAATTTTTTAACCCCATTTCATTTAACAGTTTTCTTGAGTTTACTTCATTATAATCTTACTATACTGTTATTCCTCTGTGTTCCCATGTACTTATATAAGCTCTTCCATATTATTTGGCATTACGCTACTGGTTTAAGAACTCTAAGCTTAAGAACGTTCACATCTGTTTTGTCACTGGCACTCATTTTTCCTTTTTCGGGAAGTAGCAATGGGGGAAACCATTCTATTCCATGCTCTGAACTGAGCATGTGACCTGGCCTGGTCAAGCAGAACATTCTTTCCCCCTGGCTACAGCCATCAGCAAAGGTCAGGTCAGTGGGGCTTCATTCTGTGACTCTAATAGGAACTACTAGGCAACTGGCACTTTCTACTGAAACTGCTAGGGATCACCTTGCCACCTAAAGGGGAGAGCTTGTTCAAATCACAAGAGGAAAAATGTCTCATGACATCGTTTCAAATCTGTATTCTGATATTTTTTGAGTTGACACTTTATTAAAGAAATTCACTTTTTTACTAAAGCTAGCACGTTTCCGTAACTCAGAAAAGTGAGTTAAGTTTCTGTCACTCACAATCACAGGAGTCCTAATGAATAGGTTCAGTAGCAAGCATCAAAGAGATCCCCCAGAGGCCTGTTTCCTTAAAATCAATGCCATTTATCCCTGTTCTCTACTTACTCAACTTCTGCCATTAGTCACATGCTATGCATTTGACAGACAATAATGGAACCATTGACTTAAAGAACCTTTAACAATTTAAACAGAAGATAGATTACGAAATCTGTTCAAGCTCCCAAATATAATCAGAAAATGACTTACCCAAAGAGAATTGTAACTCCTCCTGAGACAAACATTCCTGCTACAAACATAAATTTTGCTCCAATATGTACAAGCTATAATAAATGTCAAAGAAGAGTGGTAAATTTATGACTTCTGAAAGTCTATACTGATAGAAACAAATCCACTGTATTGGAAAATATAGGATGGGGGAAGACATGTACAGTTAATATATTATAATTCTTTAATATAGTGACAGTACTCATTGCTTAAAAACATGGAGTTAAAAATCAATCAAATCTGAGGAGGGAACTGTCAATAGTGGCACAATTTATAAAATTATAACCATGGTTATTTCAGTATCGATGCAAATTCTAGACTAGTAAACTAAAATAATTCATCATATAATTTTTAAAAATTAAGATGTGTATATGAACTTTATACTTACATAGTTTCCAAATACCAAGCATGCCAGCAACTCGAACAAAGCAAAACATCCAAAGATCATACCGATAATCATATTGCTGGTTCCCTTCTTTTCAGCCTTTAGGTAATAGAAGTGGAAACAAAGTTTCAAAGAAAAATTAGCATCAATATGGAAAAATGGGAATAATAGATCAGAGCATCATCTTCTTGTGAACTTTATCTGCATATCAGTTTCAAAAAGATTATTCTTTTAAAATAAATGGGGTGGGGAAGGAAGGGAAACTAGTAATAGTTTAGATAGTAAACCATAGTCTTTTACATGAAAATAATTCACTCACCATGCCTATAAAGAATTGTTAGCTTTAGCTGGCAAAAGTCAGAATTAGAGTGTATAAACAAACACAAAAAATGCCTTGGATAAGGAAATTTGGGCTCTATTGCATAGTCACAGGACCGAGGAAACAGCTGATTTAGACACACTTCCTTTTGGGTATCACATTTAATTATAGGAAACAAACAAAAAACACTGGCCAATGTTCAAACTCAAGAATAGGAAGTTCCATGAGTTGGCACATGGGTCAGACCAAGGCCCAATCAGTCTAGGTCTCTGTTTCTGACAGTAATACCAATTACCTGACAGTTTGGAGAAGACAGTTTTCCTTCCTGTCATCAACAACACAGGTGAGAGATGCTCCCCTGACATTCTACGTTCTCCTGAAACAGCCAAGGTAGTTTATCATCCATCAATTACAGTTACTAATGTTTATAGCCTATTCTATCAGTGAGCTCCTAAGATTTGCTACAGGTAATATTTATCCTAAATCTACTTCTTTTGAACTTCAAATGCTACCACTGTGATACACAACTACATTCACATATAAAAATAGAAAGTTTAAAAAACTTTGTCAAGTCCTGGAACTACGGCAGATCCTTAAATCAGATTCTAGCTATAGAAATTTAAGGAATCAAAATACGAGTCTAATTTCTTTAAGATAGGACTGGCCACTTAGCATACTACAAAGGGAAAGCCTGAACTGTCATATATTGACCATCTTGTATATATAAGGCATTGTACCAGCAGTGAATATTTATGGTCAGAAGAGTCCAGTTTAGATCCATCCTTTAGGCAGAGCTTTGGATTTTCGCAAATAACTTCATAATTAATACAGAAATGCACACATGCACACACACTTTTGCACTCTTCAACATCCATTCTCTACAACCATGATTGCCTTTCTTTACGTTTTCTCTCTAAGTACAATTTACGATAAAAATTTTCTCCATCCCTTCCCATGTAAAGATACTATCATCATTCAATCTTTGTCTTTTTCAAGGATGTTTTTTTCCATGTCAGACTGTGCCTCTTTAAATAAACCATACATTTCTCATAGCGTCATACCACAGGAAGCCAGAGAAGTGAACTCTGTTGTTCTAAGCTAAATTTTAGGAAGGGCCTCCCTCTTACTCTAGGAAAAGTCCTCAGAAATGTCCCTAAGCACTTGGTGGTGCGTGAAGGCAGAGAGGATGGGCCCACAGCTCCACAGTAATGGCTTGGGAAAGATTTAAGCCCCTAATTCTTGGGCTTCATAACTAGCCATTCCCTTTCCATGTACTAATAACTACAGGAAATAACGGTGTGGATACGAGAGAGTTCATTAAAATACCTTTAATGGCACTGTAACAAACTGGTATGCAAAAAGAGAATACCATCGCTTGGAAGACAGGATGAAAGGAGTACGTACATTATCAACTACTAAACATGAGAGAATCAAGATGAGATCCTCAAAAAAGAAAATGTTGATGAAAGGAAGTCAATATTAACGGCATAAAAAAGATATCAAATGAGTAGGCCAGTGAGACTCACACCTGTGAATACCCAGCACTATAGGAGAGGAGCCGAGGGGGGAGCGATCCACTTGAGGTCAGCGAGTTCGAGACGGCCGCTCTGCCAGCATGGTGAACCCCGTCTCTTACTAGAGTACAATGACAAAACTTAGCAGGGGTCGGGTGGGGGCACAATCGTCTGCTCGAAATCCCAGCGTACTCAGAAGGCTGGGGAGAGGAAGGAGAATTGCTTGGAACCCAGGGGAGTCAGAGGTTGCAGGAGTGCCGAGATGGCCACTGCACTCCAGCGCTGGGGTGGAACAGAGCGAGAGACCTCTGTCTCAAAAAGAAAAAAAGAAGAAAGAAAAAGAGAAAAGAAAAGAAAAAAAAGAAAAAGAAAGAAAGACGCAAGGAAAGAAAGGAAAGAAAGAAAGAAAGAAAAGACAGTCCAAGAAAGGAGAAGAAAAGACAAACATTCATTAGTCAAGATTACAGTTGATCAATGCGATAATAGTTCCAATAAGTACATTAATTTAGAAGTCTAGCAGAAAAAGATTAAATACCGTATAGCAATTAATACTTACTAGACCCTCATTATGAGCCAGGATCTCTATTGAAAGTGCCATTTCTACATTGAGGTATCTAACAACAATTAAATAAGTGTGATGTATTTTAGCTGGCGGCTCTTTATAGATGAGGGAGAGGACTGCACAATGGTTACAACCCCGTAAGCCAGTTACAGTTTCGCGATCATGTGCATGTCCATATTCCACTGTGGAAATGGAATTGCTGGACACAGGATGGGCGTAGAAAACCACATGCTACGGCAGGCAGCCAAATGCCATTTTTGGAACACGGATCCTGCTTCACATTAGGAAAGCAAAAACAGCTGTTAAAAGCAATTTCTAGGCCGGGCACAGGGGCTCATGCCTGTAATTCCAGCACTTTAGGAGGCCAAGGCAGGCCGATCACCTGAGGTCAGGAGTTCAAGACCAGGCTGGCCAATATGATGAAACCCCATCTCTACTAAAAAATACAAAACAACTAGCTGGGTGTGGTGACATGCACCTGTAATCCCAGCTACTTGGGAGACTGAGGTGGGAGAATCACTTGAACCCAGGAGGCGGAGGTTGCAGTGAGCCGAGATCATGCCACTGCACTCCAGCCTGGGCATGACGGAGCGAGGCTGTCTCAATAAATAAATAATTAATAAATAAGCAATTTCTGGTTCTCTGACCGAGGATGAGGGTGGCAAGAAAAATGATGAAGAGAAGTAGGAATCCCACACCAGAATTTAAGAAAGGCACTGTTTTTCCTTTGCCCAGTTAGTTTAGCTAATAAGAAAGATGACAGAACATGCAGGAGGAAGGGTGAGGCTTCACCAATGCATTTGTTGACCGTAAGATTTTAATCAGAAATGAAAAGTCAAAGCCTACTCTTCATATTTACAGCTTTTAAAATTAGAATGTTCTCTCTCCTGCCTCTGTCTCCTTTCTTTCTGCCTTCCCTCTGCGAGGCGAGACAAAGTAGCAAATGTAAGAAGCCACATTTTGCTCACTTCTGCTTGCCAGCACAATGTCACAAAACCCCTGACTCTGTGACAACATGCAGCTCTTGGGAGGGATGAGTTGAAGACAGAGCAGGATAGAGCACATGGCCCCCCACATCTCTTGCCTGAGCTATTACATTCCTTAAATGATAAATGCCCCAGCCTTGCCTTTTCATACACATAAGATAACATCTAACAGGGTTGTGATTATGCTTTTATAAACTATTACCAAAGGTACATTCATAATCTATAACCAGATATACTCTTACACCTAAACTTTGATGTGACCTTGCGCGTACTGAATCTCCACCACCTGTATCACCTGTATACGAACTGGGAACTGAAATACTCAGCCTGTAGTCCTCAGTAAGACTCCTGAATAAAATGAACTTTAATTCTTTAAAAGCTTGACTTTTTTCTTTAGTCAACATTTTCTATAAGCAAAACACTCAGTCAAAAGCTTAAAGAGCACACACCATTAGCCTGGTTTTCCTTTGTCCCTATTCACTTAGAGGAAACTAACGTTAGTTGCACTCACTGAGTTCCAGCTGAGCTAGGAAATGCCCTTCCCACTGGTTGATTCACTTACTCCAATTCTTCTCCATCTCAATTCCACAGGCTCTTATTATTTAAAAAAAAATTTTTTTTGAGACAGAGCCACACTCTGTCACCAGGCTGGAGTGCAGTGGCACGATCTTGGCTCACTGCAACCTCGGCCCCTCGGGTTCAAGCGATTCTCCTGCCTCAGTCTCCTGAGTAGCTGGAACTACAGGCACGTGCCACCACGCCTGGCTAATTTTTGTATTTTTAGTACAGACAGGGTTTCATCATGTTGGCCAGGCTGGTCTCGAACTCCTGACCTCAGGTGATCCTCCCGTCGGCCTCCCAAAGTGCTGGGATTACAGGTGGGAGCCACTGTGCCTAGCATTATTATGATTATTTACAAATCCCAAGTCTGGCCAGACTGCTTTGTCTTGCTCAAACACCTCTGATGACTGCCCACTGACTAAGTCCTTGACAAGTGCCCTTCTTTCTATCTCCGGCCTGCCTCCTCAGATCCACTGTCTCCTATTAGACCTCACTTCACCCCAGGCTCAAACCACATCAAGAAGCTGTCTGCTGTTCCCCAGGAACATGCCATTCACTCTGCAATTCCTGTGACCATACCTAGAACACCTCCATCTCTGTTGTTCACTATAAGAATTAACATTTCTTAGGACCCACCTTAGACCAGGTGCAGTGGCTCACACCTGTAATCCCAGCATTTTGAGAGGCCGTGGTGGGCAGATCGCTTGAGCTCAGGAGTTCAAGGTCAGCCTGGGCAACATGGTGAAACCCCAACTCTACTAAAAATAGAAAAAAAATAGCTAGGCGTGGTGGCACTGCCTGTGCCCCAGCTCCTCAGGGGGCTGAGGCAAAAGGATCTCTTGAGCCTGGAAGGTTGAGGCAGCAGTGAACCCTGATCATGCCATTGCACTTCCAGCCTCAGTGACAGAGTGAAACCCTGCCTCAAAAAAAAAAAAGGCCCATCTTAAATTTATCCTGAGAGTTCCTTTCAGTACCGCCCTTTCTTCTCCTATCCCCACTCCATGTATGACACAATTAACCATTCTTCTTTCGAGGGTCTTATAACATTAGTATGGATAGAGGGAAGCCAGAAGAAAATGATAATGTAAAAACAGAAAAAAAAAAAAAAAAGTCTTATAACATTCTGGAAATCCTTTTCTTAAGGGATATCCAAATCATTGGAACCTTTTCTTTCCCCCATATTTTTTCACTCCCAATGGGTGGACAAGAGAGAACCATTTCCCTGATTTTTTTATTCTACCCTAACACATCCCATGCTTTGCCTGCTCTAGAGAAGGAACTCATTAAACCTCTACTTAATAGAATTGAATTGGGCAAGTCACAGCTTCTGAGACTGTTTCTTCATTTGCAACATGCTGAGATTCTCAAGATTCTGTATGCAGTTGTTGCAGGGATCAAATGGATAAATGAGGGGTAATGTGTACTAAAAGCCAGAGAGCACTGTATGGGTACATGGCAATATTGTTCCTTTAGCAGAGAAGCCACTTTATCTTCTTTTGTATCACACAGAACGAAGGACTACATGTTTTAAAGGCAGCTGGAGGACTATGAAGCCGCCACTGCACTGTGAACCAAGGATCTGGCAAAAAGAACAAAATAAAACACATGGATATGTTGTCTACACTCCAAGCCAGTCATATTCATTTCATACTATATCCTATTGACATCTAGAATCCAGTTGGACTTTCTGGGGATTATAATCTTTGAATCTGTGTCAATAAATCCTAACGCCATATAAAAGGCTATGCCTAGAAGGAACAAGCCCTATTAATCAGAATTCCTCCCTTGCGTAAACATTGCTGCTAGAGTCCATAAGAAATTCAAGTTAAAAGAGGGAATATGGAGTGGGGCAGGGGCTGGGCATGGTGGCTCACACCTGTTACCCTAGCACTTTGGGAGGCCGAGGTGAGCAGATCACCTGAGGTCAGGAGATCGAGGCCAGCCTGCCCAACATGGCGAAACCCCACCTCTACTAAAACTACAAAAATTACCCAGACGTGGTGGTAGGCGCCGGTAATTTCAACCACTTGGGAGGCTGAGGCAGAAGAATCACTTGAACCAGGGAGGCAGAGGTTGCAGTGAGCTGAGATCGCAACATTGCACTCCAGCCTGGGCAACAAGAGCGAAACTGTCTCAAAAGAAAAAAAAAAAAAGGAAGCGGAGACAGGAATCAAAACGTCCTAATTCTAAAATGTGGATAAAACCTCAAGAAAATAGTTACTGTCTTAACACAGACCTATTGCAGTGATATTTGAATCTCAGTTATTCAGTGAACTCCTTTTTTTTCAGTTGCAGAAACCAAATAAAGATTAATCAGACTACAGGGTAAGCAAAGTAATTCTCAGAAGATCAACTACTTTTAGGTGAATTACCTCCCAAGAAGATGTTCTTTCTGACTGGATTTTTTTTTCCTGGTATCAAGCATTCTATAAGTATTCTGTTGGCTGGAGTTCTATATACCATCTGTCCTATATGTAGATTTTTACATTTTATATACTATAAAATAAAATAATTCAAACGGCTTAAAAAAAAAAAAAAAGAAAAACAGAGCTCCTAAGTGAAGGGGTGGCCTGCCCCTCCACACCTGAGGGCGTTTCTCATTAGGTGGAACGAGAGACTTGAGAAAAGAAATGAGACACAGAGACAAAGTATAGAGAAAGAAGAAGTGGGCCCAGGGGACCGGCGCTCAGCATACAGAGGACCCGCGCCGGCACCGGTCTCTGAGTTCCCTCAGTATTTATAGATAATTATCTTTACCATCTTAGAAAAAGGGAAGTGGCAGGATAATAGGATCATCATAGGGAGAAGGTCAGCAGTAAGACATATGAATAAAGATCTCTGTGACATGAATAAGTTTAAGGAAAAGTGCTGTGCCTTGATATGCATATGCAAACATCTCCATAAACCTTTTTAGTGCATAAAGAGCAGCATTGCCGCTAGCACGTCCCACCTTCAGCCCTAAGGTGGTTTTCTCCTTAATCAGTAAACAGAACAATCGGGTTTTACACCGATGTTCCATTGCCCAGGGACAGGCAGGAGACAGATGCTTTTCTCTATCTCAACTGCCAAGAGACCTTCTTTCCCCTTATACTAGTCCTCCTCAGCACAGACCCTTCACGGGTGTCAGGCTGGGGGACAATCAGGTCTTTTCCTTCCCACAAGGCCATATTTCAGACTATCACATGGGGAGAAACCTTGGACAATACCTAGCTTTCCTAGGCAGAGGTCCCTGCGACTTTTGGCAGTGTACGTGTCCCTGGGTAGTTGAGATTAAGAGAATGGTGATGACTTTTCACAAGCATACTGCCTTCAGGCACTTGTTTAACAAAGCACACCCTGTACAGCACAAAATCCGGTAAACCTTGAGTCACCACAGCACATGTCTCTTGCAAGGACAAGGTTGGGGGTAGGGTCACAGATTAACAGCATCTCAAATACAGAACAAAATGGAGTCTCTTATGTCTACTTCTTTCTATATAGATACAGTAACAGTCTGATCTCTCTTTCTTTTCCCCACACTAAGGATTTAAAAATGTCTTACCTCCTTGGGGAAAAAGGGTCCAAGTATAGAATAGCACATCATGGAACCTAAGTTCATCGAAGCTGCCGATATCAGTACAAAAACCTGTTCTCTCGAAAGCCACCGGGGAGTCTCTCCTGCACTTCCTGCAGGATCATCACCTTGAATGCAAACATGCAGCAATTAGGTATATAATTGAGACTACTGATCAAAGTACACAAATGTGATTTCTGTGCACATATGTTGCACTCTGAAGATATCATTTGCTGAGCTTAGGGCTATTTTGAATATAGCACATTTGATCAAACAGAACACGATCCTTGTACATTACTGCAGTTTTGAAAACATACTGCTTTTATTTACATTCTATTCTTTACTAGAATTTAAATGCAGAAATCATCAAGCTATCTGATCTGTTTCGCCTTCACTTTAAAGTCTCTTTCTCTGGTCTTTAACAACCCTTCAAGAAAGATGAGGTGGCAGGGTGATCTCCAAAGGGTGATGCTCTCTGAAGCATAATGTCCTTATTTTCTCAAGTTACTTGAATCATATGCTACATGAACTCAATATTTCAAGCATGTAATGTTAATTTATTAAGATTTCTGGCCGGGCGCAGTGGCTCACGCCTGTAATCTCAGCACTTTGGGAGGCCGAGGCAGGCGGATCATGAGGTCAAGAGATAGAGACCATCCTGGCTAACACGGTGAAACCGCGTCTGTACTAAAAATACAAAAAAATTAGCTGGGCACGTGGTGGCGGGCGCCTGTACTCCCAGCTACTCGGGAAGCTGAGACAGCAGTATGGCGGGAACCGGGAGGCCGAGCTTGCAGTGGGCGGAGATCGCGCTACTGCACTCCAGCCTGGGCGACAGAGGGAGACTCTGTATCAACAAACAAACAAACAAACAAACAAACAAACAAAAAACCCACAAAGATTTCTAAGGCAATATTGAAGTCAAATGAAGTGTAAGTAGGAGAAAACAAGCGAAATCATTCAGCTGGTGAATTAATATTTACAATGGTATGCTTCTGGATAGACAAGTCCCAAAATTCACAAATCAATACTTTTCTTACCCTAATTACTAGTCTTTTGCATCAGCTAATTTAACACTTATTTCCAGGGCTAAGTTGTCATTTAAAAACACTAAATCAATTACTCAGAGTTCCAAATATCCAAGCAAATCCATCAGCCATTTATAAATTAAACTGTTTTTAGGAAAAACTTAAGAAAAATATATTTGCTTTGCTCTGTTTGTCAGAGGTTGCCATTGCAGTCCAGAAGGAAAAAAAAAAAAAAAAAATCTGTGCAATATGAGGAAGTCTTATGAATCTTTGTAAATTGTTTGTAGTAGATGAGAAAGGGAAATGAAAGTTAAAAACAAAGGCAACGACACTGGGTACTTGAAAGGTAACGTTTTACATTTGCCTAATGGCATACTTATTTGAATGCATTAAACACACAGTACTTAAAAGCAGAGGCATGGGTTAGAAAGTCATTAGATACCGTGACACACATCCAGTCCTGGAACTTTGCCCCGTCCAGAGAGAAAAGAAACGCTGGCCCGAACCCCACGATCAGGCCCCCGCCTTTTCCAATCTCTCGGAAAAGAATCAAGCTAAAAGCAATTCAGTCGTTGCTAAAGAGACAGGCCCGAAGCCGCCGCTGGGCTCCAGGCTCCCGGCCACGCAATTCATGGTCACCTCCTGGTGCGCGTGGGCCCTCCAGGTCACCCGGCGCGTCCATCCCCGGTGCGTGGACTCCTGCGCCCCACCTCCCGGGTTCAAGCCAGGTCCTTGGACTCGACCTCCAAGGAGCCACTGGCACTCCGGCGGGCGACTGCTGCTCAGCTGGAACCTGGCATTCCCGACTCCCTGTGGGCAGCGATCCGCCCAGCTCGGAGCTCCGCAAAGCCTTCCAGGACTCTGAGTCCCCGGGAGGCGGCCGGGGGCGGGGTAGGGGTGGAGCAAGGCTCCTTTTTTTTTTTTTTTGCCCCCCCATTATCTTAATACACCACCTCAGCTGCTATATCATGGTGTCCTTTTCCATTCTGTGAGAGAGAGAGAGTGAAAAAAGATGAGTCTATATTCCATACAGCTGTACTCCCTTCTATCTTAAAATAAGTTCAATTTATTCCTACGAAACGAAAGAAAGGAAGCTTATGTGGAAATAGAAAATGTAGGGAGTACGTCAACTGAAAGACACAAAAGTGAATTAGAAAATTAGGTTTATACAGGACCTTTGAAAGAGTGAATTATTTTTCACAGTGGGTAAATGCGGTAGTGTTCGTAATTATTGAAGCCAGACACTATTGAACTGGAAATGAATTAACCAATATGAAGCACCTGTAGTCGAAAAACACTTGCAAGAATACTAATGAATATTTACGAAGCATGGTGAAGTGGCTAGGAGTGCGACCTCTGGAGGCAGGTGCCAGGGTTTCAAGTCAGAGCACTTACTGGCTGTGTGTAATTTTGGATGACAAGGTCAGTTTCTCTATCTGCACAACTGAGATTATAATGTTTATCTTGTAGGGTGGCTGTGAGCATTGGCGATAAAGTGTGTTAGTAGCTAGCACATGAACATGATGGCTACTACCTTACTCTCACACTCACAGTTTTCTTGCACAAAAAATAGGTTTCACTTATTTTCACCTTTTTTACTATTTGGGAAGTGTTAAATCTTGAGGACTAGGACTAGCTGGGCGTGGTGGCTCTTGCCTGTAATCCCAGCACTTTGGGAGGCCGAGGTGGGCAGATCACCTGAGGTCAGGAGTTCTAGACCAGCCTGGTCAACATGGTGAAACTCCATCTGTACTAAAACTACAAAAAAACCCAATAGCTGGGCGTGGTGGTGGGCACCTGTAATCCCAGCTACTCTGGAGGATAAGGCAGGAGAATCGTTTGAGGCAGAGGTTACAGTGAGGCAAGATCCCAAAGAATTGTGTGAGGTGGCTTTATCGACTGAGAATCTGCCTCAGATCCACTGTACAAGGTTGATTCCAATACATGGGATGGTGGATAGTAAATTTGTAATTACTACGCGACTTCACTCCAGCCTGGGTGAAAAAGTGAAACTCCTTCTGAAATAAATAAATAAATAAAAGTTTAAGGACTGGGAAATTCTTGATATGAAGCCAAACCAAAACAAAAGACTGAATTAGCACTTTGTGCCAGGCATTATCAATTTAAAGATGAATGAGCCCCATCCAGACTCTGCCCTCAAGTAGCACACCTTCTAGCAGATGAAATTCACACTAATAATCTACTATAATGCAATCAGTTGTATACAAACATATTGCAAGAACCATTTACTTTGGCAAATGGGTCCTGGATGACTTTCTGAGGAAGTGATGTTACCTTGGTTCTGAAGTTATGTAAAAATTCCCCAGTGGGCGAGTTGGCGAAGGAGAACCTGGAGAAACTCTGACAGAAAGTTCCACTCTAGGCGGGGCGGTGACTCATAACCTGTAATCCCAGCACTTTGGGAGGCCAGGTGGTGCGGATCAACGGAGGATCAGGAGGATCCGGACCGATTCCTGCAACATGGTGAAACCCCATCCACTAAAATACAAAAAATTAGACCAGCGTGGGTGGTCACCCTGTAGTCCCAGTACTCAGGAGGGCTGAGGCAGTGGAATCTCTTTGAACAGGAGGTGGAGGTTGCAGTGAGCCGAGATCCGCACCACTGCACTCCAGCCTGGCAACAGGGCAGGACCCTGTTCTAAAAGAAAAGAAAAAGAAAGAAAAAGAAATGAGAAAAGAAAGTTCACTCTAGCAAATGTTCCCTAAAGAGCCTTGTAAATCTTTATGATCTAACCCCTGACAGCTTCTCCAATCTCATTTAACTCTACGCTTTCTCTTCAATCTAACATCTGTAGAGGAAAATTTTCTTGAACGATTTATTTGATGATTACATTTTCTCTTTTATTTTCTTTCTGGACTGTGCTTTATGTGGATGTTGGGTCACCCAAACTGGTCCTCTTACTTACTTCTCTTTTTCTTCTCTCTTTTCTTTTTTTTTTTTTTAGACAGGGTCTCACTCTGTTGCCCAAGCTACCACTACTATGACACTATCATGGCTCACTGCAGCCTCAACCTCCCGGGCTCAACTGATCCTCCCACCTCAGCCTCCTGAGTAGGTGGGACTACAGGCATGTGCCGCCACGCCTGGCTAGTTATTATTTTTTTCTTTTTTTCCCCTCCATCTTATAGGAAGCATCCCTAACTGTACCTTGCCATCTGAATTTTTGCCAACCGAATCTTGCCAAATGTATCTTGCCAACTGAATGTTTCATTTCTGTTGCCATCTATTTCCTTGTATCTCCATTCTCATTCCTCTCCCCATTTGCAATCATTCTTGCATGTTTATTGCAAATCTTGTTCTTTATGTTCTCAAAAAAAATCTGTGTTCTTGTGTGTCCATCTATTTTTAATTTACATCAAGGCTATTCATATCCCTATCCTCCCCTCTTCGTCTAATCTCTACCTGTCATTCTTCCTTCAGATCATCAGTTTTATAATCAAATATTATTACTGTGTTCGTTTTCTGGGGCTGCTGTACAAATCACCACAAATTTGGTAGGTTAGAACAAGGTCCTGGAAGCCAGAAGTTCAACATGAGTTTCACTGAGCCAAAATCAGGTGTCAGCAGGATCATGTTCCCTCTAGAGGCTCTAGGGAAGAGTCTGTTTCTTGCCCCTTGAAGCTTCTAGTTACTATTGGCATTTTGTGCCGCATCACCCTAATCTCTGTCTCTGGGATCACTGTGGCTCTTCTCTTCCGTGTGTAATCTTCGTTTGCCAGTCTCTTGTAAGGATATTTTGAATGAATTTAGGGCTCACCTGGATAATCCAGGATGATCTCTTCATCTCAAGTTCTCCAATTTAATCACATCTGCACAGACCCTTTTTTTCCTATAAGGTAACATTTACAGGCTCCAGGGATTAGGATGTGGATGTATCTTTGGAATCCATTATCAGCCTACCACAATTATCTATTCATAGACATATATACACATATAGAGTATTTTTTTTCTTTACAAACTAAAATGGAGTAATATAGTCTTTGCTTAAATGCCACCTCCTCAGAGAAATTCACTCTTTATTATTTATTTATTTAATAATAGAGACGAGGTTTCACCATGTTGCCCAGGTTGGTGTCAAACTCCTGGACTCAGGCAATCCATCTGCCCTGGTTCCCCAAAGTGCTGTGATTTCTGATTACTGCCGTGAGCCACCACACCTGACCAAGACATTCATTCTTTTTTTTTTTTTTTCTTTGAGATGGAGTTTCACTCTTGTCGCCCAGGCTGGAGCGCAATGGTGCCATCTTGGCTCACGGCAACCTCCGCCTCCTAGGTTCAAGCGGTTCTCCTGCCTCAGCTTCCCGAGTAGCTGGGACTACAGGCATGTGCCACCATGTCCAGCTAATTTTGTATTTTTAACAGAGATGGGGTTTCTCCATGTTGGTCAGCCTGGTCTTGAACTCTCGACCTCGGGTAATCCACCTGCCTCAGCCTCCCAAAGTGCTGGGATTACAGGCATGAGCCACGGTGCCCAGCTAAGAAATTCATTCTTATCCCCTTATCCAAATACAGCCCCAGTCATCCTTTGTCTTTTCACCTTTCTATTTTTCTTCCTAGCACTTCTATCAGTCAGGGTTCCCTGTTGCTAATTTAAAAAAGCAACGTTGGCTAATTTAAGCAGAAAATGAATTTATCATTGATTATTAGGTAACACATAGTATCATCAGGAGGATCATGCATACCACTTAGAGGCTAAGTGCCTAAAGTCACACCACCTAAGTAGTCCAGTATGCATAGCACTGCAACCCTGCTGGACGTACATCTCCAGCACATGCTGCCAATACCACTGGAGCCAGGTATAAGACATTGTAGTTAGAATATCATTCCCACTCCTCAAGAATGCTGCCACTCTCACCAGAAGAGGTTTTAGGTGGTGCTGGCTTCTTCCACTCACTTGCTTCCATTGCATATCAAGACCCGACGTGTTTGAAGTCAGGCGGTAAAAAGTGTCCAACTACGTTCTTCTTTTCAAGAGTGGTTTGAATATTTTGGTACTTTGAATTTCTAGAGAAATGTCACAATTAGCTCTCATATTCTCCAAACAACCTGGTGGAATTCTTACTGGTATTTGTTTGACTCCATGTATCAATTTGGGGAGAACTGACATTGAATCACTATTAAGCTTTTAATCCATGAACACGGTATATCTCTCCAATTATAAAGATATTTCTTTCATAACATTTTCACATTTTTCACGGTGTAGGTATTATATGCCTCACGTTAAATTTATTCCAAAATACCTTAGTTTTAGAAGCTAGTAAAAATGGTATTTTTACATTTAAATTTCCAACAATTTGCTGATTATATATAAAAGTAAATGAACTTTTGTATGAATATGGTATCCTGCAATCTTGCTAAATTCCCTCATTAGTTCTAGTCATTGTTGTATAGATTCTATTAGATTTTCTAAATAAACAATTATGCCATCTGTGAATAGAGTTTTATTTCTTCCTTTTTGAAATGTACGCTTTTGTTTCTTTCACTTATTTTATTGCACTGACTAGGATGCCCAGTAAAATGGTGAATAAATGTGGTGGGAATGAGAGCCTCACTTTGTTCCCAATCTCACAGGAAAAACACTTGGTCTTCCAC